TATTATTATTATTATGAACATTATTTAATGGATGCAACATAATTATTGGCAGGCCATTAGAAAAGGTATACCATCAGGTGACCACACAAAAATGAAGTCTGTTGACTACAGCACATAGACATTATTCAGAAAGCATGATGATTATAATCTTACCTCCGTCTTCAAATTGCTCTCGGAAATAAACATTGGACTCTGCGGTTATTAAAGCGACGGACACGGCCATAAACAGTAGGGATAACGCAGTCATCTTTGCACTAAAATATACCCCCTTTCAGGAACGTACAATAGTAAAGTATTGAGAAAATATGTTTTGATAAGAAGTATGAGACTTGCAAGAATGATGCGGTCTGTTTGGATCTTCACATGCCTGCAGAAATCACCGTTCACTGCTGTCTTTCGCACAGTCTCGCCTCTAGGCTGGGAACAGATGGCTGGCTCTGATTGGACAGCACCAGGAGACGACAGCGTCACGCCACTCAGCCAATCAGATCGTTTGCGGAGTCCCGTGAAACTTCCGTCTTGGCCAATGCCAGCTGACCACGCGTTTGGCAGGCACTAGTGATGGAAAGACTCATTTCCGCGAATCGGTTCAATGAACAGGTTCAAAAAGCGAATTCTGCTGTTATGTACATCTTGTACGTTGATTGTATTGCCTCTAACTAAAATCCTCCTGTTTTACTATGCTAAATATGTGCTACTTACGGGCTGCTATTCTGCTTTTTTTTCGATTTCTTGTTAGCTACCTTTTCTTGCTTGTTTATTTTTTTGTTTGCAGTTTGTTTAAGTATGTATGTTTGTGAAATTCTCATACAATTACGTTGTTAATATTTATTCATTCATACATGCTGTCTGTTCTTCATTCATTCATTCACTTTTCTTCGGCTTGGACCCTTTACTTATCAGGGGTCTACACAGCAGAATGAACCGCCAACTTATCAAGCATTTGTTTTATGCAGCAGGTGCCTTTCCAGTCACAACCCAGTACTGGGAAACACTCATACACACTCTCACATTCACATATACACTATATGGCCAATTTATCTTATTCAATTTACCTCACCAATAGTTGGGGAAAACTGAGCACCCAAAGGAAACCCATGCGAAAATAGAAACAACAACTAACCCAGATGGAGCTCGAACCAGCAACCTTTTTGCCGTGAGACGACAGAATGTTACATTTTGAGCTATTGGTTCGTTGTGTAAACTGTTCACTCGTTTTAGCAAGTTATGTAAATGAATCATTAATTTTCTTCAGCTTTTCAGCTTTTCAGTCCCTTTATTAATCCGGGGTTGCCACAGCGGAATGAACCGTCAACTTATCCAGCATGTTTTACGCAGTAGCCGCCCTTTCAGTCACAACCCAGCATTGGGAAATACTCATACATTTTCATATTCACACTCTCACATTCACACACATAGGCCTACACTACGGCCAATTTAAGTTATTCAATTCACTCCACCTAAGGTGGAAGAAACCTGAGCACCCAGAAGACAATCAATATGAAAACAAAAATGGTAACTAACCCAGCCGGTGCTCAAACCACCGACCTTCTTGCTGAGGCGACAGTGCTAACATTATATTTTGAGCTCTTTATTCAATGTGTAAACTGTTTACTCCTTTTAGCAAGATGCTTTTACCTGCAACCCATCATTGGGAAACTCTCATTCGCACACACTACAGACAATTTAGCTTACCCAATTCACCTATAACACTTGTTTTTGGAGAATATGACAATTCAATTTAAATATAAGAATCTATCATCATGAATATGGATTAATATGTTAACGATATGGTGTCTTAAACAATTATTGTAAATACAAGAGTTCCACAAGGAAGCATTTTATCACCCTTACTTCTTTCTCTTTACACAAATGAACTTAAGATCCAGGATTTAGGTTTTAAGTTATTTAAATACGCAGATGATGTGGCACTTGTTGGCCGGTTGACTTAATAATTATAATATTTATCAAAAAATATTGACTGATAATTAGCAGAAATAAACTAGTTCTTACTCAAGGGTTGAAACCTCTGGTCCTTGAGGAGCATAAAATGGAGACAGGTGAAAGTTTTGATTATTTAGAAACATTTATTGATAGTGGATTGACATTTGCTGCAAATGTTGAGTGATTTGTTAAAAAAAAGCAATGAGGTTATCTCTTTAGGAGGTTACAAAAATTTGGAGTGAGTCAAGATATTCTGTATATGGTATACAAGAATTTGGTTGAAAGTGTTGTGAGTTTTAACATAATTGTATGGACTGTTGCCAGTTAAGCAAAAGCTGTGTCGAGTAGTAAATCCCAAATTACCAGTGCAACTGTAGGTAAAGCACAAAGACAACTAGATACAACTTATTTAATCAGAAATAAACAGAAATGCACGTGTCATTGAAGATTGTTCCCATTCTTTACATATGAAATTTCAGCTCTTGCCATTAAAAAGATGTTTTAGGCAACCTAAAGTAAAAAAAAATTGTGTATCAAATGTCCTTTGTGCCGACTGCCATTAGAATGTTACTGGGTTTTAAGTACGAATAGGGTTTTCATTGAGTATTTAATGTGATGACATTGAAAGTATTTGTGTTGCCTGTTTTATATGTGTGTAATGTGAACGCTGATGTGGTTGTGAGGTGAAACCAAAGATAAATTTTAATAAGTGGACAATAAAGTAATATATGCTAGTTTCCCATTGAAGGGTTGCGGCTGGAAGGGCATCCGCTGCATAAAACATTTGCTGGATAAGTTGGCGGTTCATTCCGCTGTGGCAACCCCAGGTTAATAAAGGGACTAAGCCGAAAATAAAATAAATTAATGAATATATGCTAGTTTAAGCCGATTAGTTTACATGTATCTACTGATCAAAATAACAGGCTCGTAATTTACTGTCAAGAGCAAGATTACACAGGTGATTTATTCCACTGTAATTTATTAAACTGAGCAAGATGTTAAACTCAATATAGAACAAGTATTGAAAGTTTGGCATATTTAACATTTCTTTCATTCTTTGAAGACAAATAACAGGATCATTTGAGCATTTCCCCCTGGTGTCTGTGTTCGTAATTGAAAATAGTAATGTAGAATTTTAGCTTGTCAGCCAAAAATAACAGATAAAACTGTAGGCCAAACCCTTAGCTGAAATGCTGTAGACAAGCAGCTAAATGTCCAACATCATTTAGTGTTACTTGTCTGAAATTATAAAACCTTTAAAAAAAGTATATATATTTGGCTGGTGACATAAAAATAAAGATCAAACACTGACCTTTAGTTGTTCAAGCACATCTTAAACTGTTAAAAGTAACACTGTGGTGTTAAAAACAAATAAAAAAAATAGTTTTACTTATAAGAAATGACTAAAGATGTTTGACAATGAAGGTTAATGTGATAAATCCTCTAACTAAAGAAAAATGTGTTCATATGATAATGTGCATTACATTACGCATCATATTTAATGTATAACGATTCCTTCAGTCTTACATTTGTCAGGCTTACCACTCTCAGTTTTTCTACCAGCATATACATTTTCAAATCAGAATGTGTTCAAAATACAAACATCAATGAAAAACACAAAGCAACATTTAACCTGTTGTGTGCCAGTATTTAAAAAAAAGCAACAATACACACAAAGTATACATATATCAAACAAGATTTTTATGAAATGTGGTCATTAATGCAGACGATGACTACTGACAAATGCCAAAATGAACCAAAAGTTTTTAAACAGCAACTTCAAAGAATATTATAGGTGAACATAAAATGCAGAGACACGCAATAACTTAAAATGGTCTTTCAGTTGTGAAAAAAAATGCATTCGCAACAATATACTAACATGGAAAGCCTAGCAGATCCAGTCGATTTCTATGTTCTTCTAGATAGGTCTCAAACTGGATTCCTGGAGGGCCGCAGCTCTGCACAGTATTGCTCCAACCCTAATAAAACACTGCTGATCCAACAAATCAAGGTGTTCAAGACTATTGTAAACACCTTGATAATTTGGATCAGCTGTCTACATTGAAATAGGCAGACATCTTAATATTATACATAACCAAGTCTGTGCTGGGAGGAGGGAGAACAGAAATTGTACGGATGGAAGTATTATAACTCGGATGAGAATAGGACACACTGGACTCAACCATACTTTACATAAAAAAGGGAAACACCCAACTAGAAAATGTATACACTGTTACCAACAAGAAACAATAGAACGTATTAACCTACTGCAGTAAATATAATAAAGAACGATATGATCTCATTCAATCAATGAATAAGAACAAACATCATGATTTCACATTGTCAGTTCTATTAGGGAAAACGTTTAGTAAGGTTTTTAATGATATAAGTAAATTTGTTGAAGAAACCCAGTTAGAGAAAAAATATAGACAATATAATCTAAAGCAGTGGTTCTCAACTGGTTTGGCCATGGGACCCACATTTTTACATGGTCATCAACCGCGACCCAAATGTTTAGGAACTATAATATAATTTTAGAAATTATAATTCATTTGTATTTACTTGTTAACATACACAACAAGTGACAGATAAATCATAAGAAAATCACCAATACTTACAAATAAACAATATTTTACTGCTGTCATTTAGCAAAATGTATCAAATTATAGAAATAATCGCGACCCATCAATTGAGAAACACTGATTTAAAGAATATACTATCACATTTTGTTTTTTTTCTTGTCCTCCCTCTTTCCCTCTATTTTACAATTCAGTCATTATTCAACCAGTTCCATACTCCAGTTGGTGGCAGTAATGTAGCTTCAAGTTTGGTTGCCAACCGCAAATAAAATCCAAAGAAGGATCAGCGGTGTTTTATTAGGGTTGGAGCAAACTGCAGAGCTGCAACCCTCCAGGAATCTAGTTTGAGACCTAGGCTGCGTCCGAAACTGCCTACTACTCACTAGGTACTGCATTTAAATTTAAACGTACTACTCGGGCATTAGAAAAGTACGTTCTACACAGTATGAATGGAATTTGGACGTACTACATCCGCCATTTTGTCATGGTCACGTGACCTACCTGCGTCAGTTGCGTCACTTCACTCCTATTCATGAATTCACTCACGGAGCATCATGGGATAGAGTAGTGTGCATGGGATGTGCACTTTTGAATCTCGCCAGAAGTAGTAATCATCCGGGTACTTATGAATTGGGACATACTTCTCGGCTCGCATACTGATTTTAGCGTACTGTACAGTATGGAAGTATGCGGTTTCGGACGCAGCCCTATGTTCTAGAACATGGTCAAATGCAGTTCCTGGAGGGCCAGAGCTCTGCAAAGTTTAGCTTTAACCCTAATTAAACTAATTGAGTCCTTCAGGCTTGTTTGAAACCTACAAGTAAGTGTGTTGAACTGGAACTAAACTGTGCAGAGCTGCGGCTCTCTAGGAATCCAGTTTGAGACCTATGATCTAGAACATCCGGTTTAACTCAGAAATAGATATCATGTATGGTTGCAAAAATCAATTCCATCAACTTTAAAAGTAAAACACAAATATAATGTTGTGTCAATGGCTGCTAGGGCTCCACTTCAAGTACATCACTGTAAATGCACAATTTTTAAAGAGGTTTTGCTGCTTAAGTACACTCAATGCATGTAAACTGTAGTGTAGATAAAAAGTTCCTAAAAATATAATTACAGAAGAGTTTGCGAAGAACAAGCCCCTCTGTTTCTGTCAAGAGTGTACGGTACAGAGTCGAAACTCCACTTTTTTGTTTTGCTTGCATTGTCAATGTTGTAGGATGTGCATTTCAGTCATCAGCAGTCATTTCTGCTGCATTCAAGTGTGTTGTTGTGTGTTTCTTTAATGCCATTACGGTAGAAAGAAGTTGATTCTTTGGGGGATGGATTTGCAGCCTTGTGCAGAGAAGAGTTTCTCCTCTTTAGGCACATACAGCATGGCTTTGGCCACTTCGTCCAGCGTTCCCTCATCCGGCTGAAGGCCACGAGCTGCATACGCGTCGTGGGCACACAGCTTCACGTGACGGTACTCCAGCGGCAAGAACGGTACAAAGAAGTCAATCAGATGGCCTGACATCAGCTCGCTCTGTGCAAAACCTCCTGCAAAGGTGAACAGATGCTTAGTGAGGAATATCACGGATTAAAACAGACATACTGTGCAAAAATCCACTATACCAGCTTTGTTGGCCTGAGACTTTTGCATAATTTATAATCAATCAGTTCCTTTATTAAAAACAAACAGAAAATATAGGAAATATGTAGAAAAAACAACAACAACAAAAAAAAAAAAGTCTGTGTTATTTTGTGATTTTCCTTGGCACCCAGAACAACTTAAACTGTATTGTTCTAATTGTCCTTACATGTTCTGAAATAATGTTTTAATATCAGGCTTCATGTAGCTCTTTCTAGAGTTCTTCTTTAGGTTTAAAGTGTCATATCTTTCTTTTTCTGTCCAGGTGATCTCATACTGTCTCTATAATATTCAGGTCTGGACCCTGTGGAGGACATTTCATCAGCTGTTTTCTTTCTCCAAATTGGATTTCACCGCAACAAGCAAATCATTATCATGCAAAAAAATTGAAAACTATTACCACTGAAGTCTTTTGGCATGGCATAATGGACTAAAACCTATCTGTACTTTTCAACATTCACAATTCCATAAATTCAGACACTATTGCTAACAACACTGGTAGAAATGCAACTCAAACCAGGACAAACAGCCTCTCTCCAACATTGCCTTTCACATGTCTTAAACAATTAAACCAAAATAATTCAACCTCTAACCAAAATCCTATCCAAACAAAACAAACATCAACTGAAAGATAGTTTATTCACCTTGTATGAATCTCAATTTAAAAAGAAAATTGACAAAAATTTACGCTTATGACTGGTTTTGTGGTCAATTATATATCCATTATATTATCAGTAAAGCAACAGATTTAAGGTTGGCCTAAAACCTTTGCACAGTACTGTATAAAGCTGTAAAAACAGAGAAGATACACAGCAACTTTGAGTGTGATTAAGTATAAGATTAAGTAATAGCCACTAAAAGAACTGTGAAAAAATGAACTACGATCTTATGCAATGGATAATGATGTACATTTATGCAGTTAGTTTTTCCCAAAAAATAAAGCAAAATAGGATGATCAGATGCCTGACACAAAGTGGGCTGATTTTAATAAGACTGAAAGGCTTTATTCTAAGTAAACAACCACCTAGATGCACATTTTTACACGGCTACCACAAAACTACACCAGACACAAAAGATGATCTGAGCTGTAATAATGTATCAACTATTAAATAAAAGTAAAGTTGACTTATACAAATGCTGAATGGAGCATACACTAACCTACTAATTATTAAACAGTCAAGAAAAGAGGCGTGACATATAAGCATATACTGTAAATATGCATTTGAATTAATGGTCAAGTAGCTTGAAGTACTTAGATGAGCCGTGTTATTACTTTCAATGGTTGTTATCTAGGAATAACCCTAGGTAGTCAAAATTGAGCAATCAGAATTAAGCATTCCTTTTAAAGCGCGTGTTTCTAAATTCTATGCTTTATTAGTTTACTCTGATTCCTCAGTTTATGGTTTCTTGAAACCACTTTGGAAATGGGACCTAGGAGGAGTTCTGTTTAATCATGAAGACTGGTTCAAGATCTTTGATGGTACTTTTCCAAAATGCACCTCAAATTCCATACATGAACAAAATTGTAAGTTTTTACACAGAATTTATTTTACACCTGTTTGTCTGCATAAAATGTCTCCAGCTTGTTCCAACCTCTGTTTTTAAGTGCAAAACTTGTAAGGGCACATTTTTTTCATGTATTTTGGTCCAATGTTCACATCCAACCATTTTGGAGAGGGGTTCATTCTGCAATCCAGGAGACAAGTGGGAAAACGTTTGATTTTTTCCCCTTTCATTTTGTTAAATGACATTCCTGAAGACTTTTTTTTGACTCAGAGATCATACCTCCGTTTACAACTCTTACATTTATAGCTAAGAAATGTATATTACTAAAATGGTCTACTTCCCAAATTCCAACTATTTCCATGTGGATTTCTCAGTTGTCAGTTTTTCTTCCTTTGGAAAAATTAACCTCTGACCTCAACCACAAACAGTACAAATTCAGGAGACTTTGGGAATGTCTCCAATCCTTTCTACATAAACTCTGAAATGTTTATTTGAGTGAATTCTGGCTTCCTTTGGTTTGTCTTGATTATTCTATTATTATTATTTTAATTTTTTAAACATACATTTGTCAATTTTTATTTAATTTGCAGCGTTCAGGGGTGGTTTGTTTGTTTGTTTGTCTGATTATATTTGTTTGTACTATTTAAAAATGATTAGTAAATCATTAGTAAAATTAATAAAAAAGAAAAGAAAAGAATGAAGCATTCTTTAGTGAGCCATGTAAAAAGGACATTTAGCATGTAACATGTAAAAGTTGTGTTATGACGTGTTTGACTGTGCACCTTCTGCCTCCATGGCTTCAGCACGCAGAAGATGTTCCAGGTCCTCCATGCCAATATCTTCCCTGTTCTGTCCTGAGTGCCAGAAATCTAGCGCCACCTCATTGATGGCACCACCACCGATATTGCTGAAACATGACATTAAAAAAAAGCATACGTTGGCTACGAATTCTTGACTTGAATTCAACGAATCCGTCTTTCCTATGAGACGTTAAACCAAGGTCCTGACTTTCTGCAGTCATTAAAAATCCCATGTCACTTCTCGTAAAGAGTAGAGGTGTAACCCCAGTGTCCTGGCCAAATTCTCTCCATCGGCCCTTAACCATCATGGCCTCCCAATCATTACCATCCACCGAATTGGCTGCATCACTGTCTCTCCACCTATAGCTGGTGTGTGGTGAGCGCACTAGCGCCATTGTCCTGTGGCTGCCGTCGTCACATCATCCAAGTGGACACTTGAGGAGACCCCCCTCACATGATTGTGAAGCGCTTTGGGTGTATGGCCATACACAATATTTATGCGCTATATAAATACACATTACATTCATCATTTATAATGCTCTAACTCAAGAGCTATAGATTTTAAAAGTCTCTTCTAGTCATTAATGGTGCACTTATTTAATGAAAAGCAGAATAAAACTGTAAGATGTTCTAATCTTTATAGAACACTTCATATACATATGTATTTAGTAGGTAATTCAAGCATTACAATGATCTAAATAGGACCGTAAACGTTTAAATTTAAAGTGATGTTAAATTAAATGTGTAAATATTAAATTAATAATTGAACGGTTATGTTATGGATGTGTTTAATACATACAAACATCGCAGACAAGAAATTCCATTTTTGAGTCAGCTTTAAATACAATTGATCATAACAATTTTACATAGACATAAAGCTGTTTTGATGCTTAACTTTTTTTAAGTGTAAGTAAAATACCAAAATACTTGTGGAATAATTTTTTACTGTCATTCAGCATTACATAAAAATTCAAGTGAAATGGAAACAGCATTTATTCTGACTGGTACTATTTTATACAGTTGAAGTCAGAATTATTAGCCCTCCTTTAAATTTTATTTTCTTTTTTGAATATTTCCTAAATTATGTTTAACAGAGCAAAGAAACTTTCACAGTATGTCTGATAATATTTTTTCTTCTGGAGAAAGTCTTAACAGTTTTATTTCTGCTAGAATAAAAGCAGTTATTATTTTTAATTACCATTTTAAGGACAAAATTATTAGCTCCTTTAGGCAGTTTTTTTCCAATAGTCTACAGAATAAACCATCATTATACAATAACTTACCTAATTACCATAACTTGTCTAGGTAACCTTATTAACTCAGTTAAGCCTTTAAATGTCACTTTAAGTTATGTAGAAGTGTCTTGAAGAATATCTAGTCAAATATTATTTACTGTCATCATGGCAAAGATAAAATAAATCCGTTATTAGAAATGAGTTATTAAAACTATTATGTTTAGAAATGGGTCTTCTCTCCGTAAAACAGAATAATTACGATATATATCTGACTTCAATATAGTATATATATAGTATATATATTTATTGTATATATATTTATACAAAATATTTAAGTGATCTAAACAAATGATTACATTCTAAATTAATTAAACACTGACAAATTAATGAATTTTTGCTCATAAAAATATATATATTACACAGGATACACGTTATTATATTCTTGTTTTAATGCTTAAAATCCCTTTTCATCTTTGCATCATATATATATCTACAGTTCATACCCCTTGCAGAAACAAAAAAAATAGTTAATAAGGTTACACTGTACAACCACCACTAAAAAAACTAACAAAAAAAAAAAAAAACATACCAACCTTAAGAACAGAAATATGGCTCTCCTATAGCTGACCCCATCCACATTATCGTAGTGGTCCATGTAGGGCTTTATGGCGTCGATGAGTCCCGGATGAAGTTTTTCGGCCTCGTCGAAGATAAAGAGAGTCTGTGGGCAGCGTAGAACCATGTCTCGTATGGCTTCTCTCAGCTGGCCCTGTTCACAAATACAAACACTAACGGTGACGTTCAGAATTCAGCAACACATTCACAACAGATTTCTCAGAGAAACATCTCTCTTTGCACTTAATACGTTCTGTGAGGTGATATACAATAACCAGGTTTCCATTCTAACCTAAAGAGAGTCTTAAGCAACAAAAATATAAGTCCAAGGCACTTAAAAGGCAAGTGAAAAAGGTAAAAAGCCTTTATTAATGTAATGTAAAGTATTATTTAATGGCATGTCAGCAGCCAGGGCTATTTTCATGGCAAGAACATTTCAATAATAAATATACAATTAAAAACACTAACAAATGAATTAAATAAGATTTTTAGCGTTAATACGTGATAAGAATTATAACATTTTCCCTAGTGTCACTTTGTTAAAAATGTCCTTAAGAGAGTTCATTTCATAAAAAATTCTTCTGGAATCATTAAAATCAGGGTATTGAGTGCAGTCTTCATGTTTAAGTGAAAAGGCATGGGTTAATCTTGTATGTCCAATACGACATCTGGTGAAAATCACTTGAACAAATCTAGTCTTGAGATTTCAGGTTGGATTTCATACAATTTATTATTTTCCAATGCATCCCACTTCTCTTGCCACTTATTTAAAATGTAAACGTTGATAAAAGGTCTCATCTATGAAGGAGGAATTGAACATTTGTGCACCACTTGCTTTAAAGAGTCCTTAGCAGCTGCATCTGCTCGCTCATTTCCTGAAAGCCCAACATGTCCTGGAACCCAGCAAGAAATGATATGATAAAACTGGTTTTGTAGATGGTGAACTTAAAAAAGTCATTATTATCACGGCTATTATTTAAATAAAACAGGTTTTTAAAAACAATATCCATGTTAATAAAGGCTTTATATTTTTGAGTGCCTTGGGCTTATGATTTTGTTGTATGTCTTTACGAATCCCTTATCCAAAGAGCATCATGACATTAATTACCCCTGAAGCACTTTTTGTTTGATTTTAGATTTATAACTAAAGAGAATCTCTTCAAAGTCAGCAAAGAAAGAAAGAAAAAATCCCAAATACGAATTAGGAGCATTTCCATCAAGTTGTTAGAGCAGCCGACTGTAGTACTGGTAACCAAGTAACCAAGAGCAGTAAACAATGCAAGCATAATGGAGGCAGCTGATTAGTCATGTGGGTAAAATACGTTTTTTTAGCAAACGATCTTTCGTCTCCCATTATTTACATTAATCATACTTTTGTAAAAAAAAAAAAAAAAGGGAGCGTAAATATTTTTGCAAATTAAGCAATTAAAAAGAGCCATTTTTGTTTCCTATGCAATACTTCAAAATGCACATTAAATGGATAGTTCATCCCAAACTGAAGATTGTCTCTTTTTACTGAAAATTTTGTAACTATTTCAAACGCCACCACGCGCTCACTGCGTGTCAGAATTGCCTTCTGAGGTGCAGGTCATTTATTAACTGAAGAAAAGATTCACGCAGCTTTTCTTACCACAGTAAATTCTGTTTTTACTGTTGATATTTGGCACCAGTTAATCAGGAAGTTACGATTTTGTTCGCTTTGACTCATTGGATGGAAACGCTGGTTTATTCGCACGTCTTTTATTCAATATTCCAGTTTTGCGCATGAAGTTAGATTGCATTTTTGCTACTGTAGACGTCAATGGTTACCGGTTTTTAACATTCTTCAAAATATTATAATAAATATTAATAAGTAAATTTTCAGTTTTGTGTGAACTATCCCTTTAACACTGGGTGATGCAAATGCAGCTAATGAGATATTCATGCAAATCTGATTTATTGGTTTTACATGAGATCAATCAAAGCTGGAACCAGAGAAACAAAATAATTTAAGATCACTGTGCAAAAAATGAGTACACCCTAATTTAAGAGATAGTTCACCCAAAACGAAAACTTCTGTCTTTACTCACCCTTCACTTGCTCCAAAATGTTTTGACTTTCTTCTGTTGCATTTAACAGAATAAAGAAACTCATAAAGGTTTAAACCACTTGAGGGTGAGTAAATGTTCATTTTTGGATGAACTCCCCTTTAAATATTTTGGAGAGAATATTCAAAAATCATTGGTACACAAATAATTAAGTTAACTGAATTTGTGTTAGGCTGCGATTATTCTTTGCATTACCCCATTTAAATGTATGTATTTTTCCATTATCTTAAAGTTAGGTGACACCACTCTTACGTTATTGAATATAAATGTGTAATTAAACCATTTTGTAAAAATGCAGCAATGTCACCTTAGAATTATAAGGTTCTATCTGCGTTCTGAAGGATTTTGAGATATTGAGCTTTAAAGTTTTTGCATTCCATATAGATAACAGTATGTGTGAAACATTTGTTTTTAAATAAAATGTCTTCAAATATAAACAACTTATTAAAAAAAACACCCCATAATGTAAATAAGTTGTCATTTAATAAGAATATGTCAATAACTCAATTTTGACGAAAATGTCAGATAGAACCTCGTAATTCTAAAGTGACAATATATTGTCCTTATTCACTGAGAAATGGATACATCTCCATAGAATGTGCACAGACGGTTGTACTCCTTTATCGTGGGCACTATATGTGCAGATTTCAAAATTTCGAGCAGGAAACAATCAGTTGTACTATGTTCGCTGAATCAGGTGTTGAACTATCTAGTTATATCAAGGTTGAATTGCATAATGTTCCCCAGAAACCCAAATAATGATTGTATTGGACCTCTGCCTAAGCGGACTGCACTGCATTGCAGTTGTTTTTTTAATCTAAATATATCCAAATGCTTGAATAACGACATAACTAGCAAAACATTACATTTGTGGTTAAGAATATAATGAAATTAAAGACTACAAATGTGTCTGTAAACGGTGGATTAAATCAACAGTGGACTATTGAATGAGAGCGGTTGACCTGTGATGTGGATGTCAAGCGATGAAACTTTGCTCACCTTGTACACGTCCACCAACCTCGCGTGAGGGAAGTGGAATGGGGCAATGAACAAACGCACACATTCGCTCTTTATACCGTCCCGGTACAGGTTGTCCGCTACTATCCGGGCCACAAAGTTCTTGCCTGTCCCAGACCAGCCGTGAAAGGACAGAGTCAGAGGTTTGTTGGACTCAGGGTTTTTGATGAAGCCTTGAATCGCTTTCAGAACCACAGACTGGGCCAGATGCTGCCCGTGGAGCTTCAGCTGGAGATCTCGCTCCAAACCTGAACATAAAACAATGCACTATTGTAAAATATCACAATTAAAAAAACTTAACCCTTGTGTGCTGTTGGGGATGTTTTCATCCACTCTGGGGTGATTTTGCGTCTTAACATGGTCATAATGTTTTCTGTTTCAGCTAGCAGAATGAGTTTTGGTGAAAAATCTTAAATTTTGACACATAATTTGGAGAAATGCTTAGAATAAAAAAAAAAACCTCAATACACTAATTTTTTTTTCTTCTAGTTATTTTGCACAAATCTGTTAATCAACCTCAGTCCTGATAAAAACTACCTAATTTCTTAGGAAATTACTGGATTTTAACTCCGTAATTGCCAAATTTATAAATAACGCTACTGATTTGGTGAAACACAAACTCAAAATGATGTATTTTCAATATGAAAAGTATTTGTGAACTGGATTATTTTTTCACCTTTCATCACAGTCTTGGACATGTGAAACAACGTTGCCTTTTTTTGATTGATTTCAATTTTTTTTCCTCCCTAGTTTTCTATTGGTGGCTGTTTTTGCCCCATTTACTTCCATTATACCCACATTTGTTTTGATTACAAAACCATGACACCATACAATCATGCATTTTTGATTGTTTGCGGTTTTCCCCTATTGGGAAGAGGTAAAATTTGTCATTTGTACAGTTGATCATCAGTTGGCACAATTGACCCTTTAAAAAAAAAAGAAAAAAAAAAGACAAAAAATCCAGTCAACATTTACTTTTTATATTGTAAATATGTCGTTTTGTGTGTTTATTATCACCAAATCAGTGACATCATTTGTGAACGTAGCAATTAAATGGTTAAAATCCTGTAATTTTAAAAAACATTAAGTAGTTTTGATCAGAACTGAGGTTGATTAACAGATTTAATCAACTACCTACTACCTATAAATGTTGATTAACATTTATAGGTAGTAAATTTGAACAGTGCACAAAAGTTAACACGTAATTCTAAATTACTTTGCTATATACACACTTACTTTTATTTAAAGAATATATAGAGAAATTAATAAATATTATATGAAATTGTGATGTATGTATAATATATATGTATAATATATATATATATATATATATATATATATATATATATATATATATATATATATATATATATATATATATATATATATATATATATATATTTCTGACACTGTAAACAAGATAATGCAGAGAGTGCTTGGTGCATAAACGGTTATAATAATTAATCACAAATAGAATATATTTCAGTGTATTTCATTAAGGGATCTAAATAAAGATTTATTTATAAAAATCATTGTATATTAAAAGATATAAAACATTCTATGGATTAGGGTTGTTGTTATACAATTAATTCATGTCAGGATACTATACCAGCTGAAGTATCATGACACCAAGTAGCATTGAAATACTGTAATTCATAACTCAAATAACATAACTCAAAGAAAAATGTCAGAAATACTGTATTTTATTTGTTATAACAGGCCTACTTGAATTGAATTAATAATTCCCTTATTTTTGAAAACATTATTTGCACGTCTCTTCACATAAAATGTATTTGTACCAAAAAAAAAAAAATAAATAAAATTAAAATAAAGATACAAATTACTTCAAATGAAAATTGTTACGAAAAGAGCATTTTTAACAAACTTAGGCTATATGAAGTGGTGAAAAAAATTTCAATGTTTTCTGTTGCTATTTTGGGTTTTTCATCTAATGTCTTTTTTTCTTTCAGTCTTATCATGTTGTTGCAAATAAATCATATTGACAGGAGCAGAAATGAACGGATTCAGATTCGAACTGAAGCTTCAGAAAATATGCAACAGGCTACTACTTTTGCAACCTTAGAAGGCACCATAGACTATTAAAATAAAATGGACTATTGTTGCACAAACGTGTGAGCATTTAGTGACTTTTCCACATGAAACATTATGTATTGTAGGCAGAACATTATTGACGATACTATCGTTTACAAACTACAGTGACACCTGCCAGTATTTTGGAGCCATAGTATCATGATACTTCCACAGTATCGTGCAACCCTACTATAGATTTAGTAATAGAATAATGATCACTTTTATGATATATATATATATATATATATATATATTTTTTTTTTTTTAAGTATGTTAGAATAAGTTTTTGGTTTCTTTTTTACATAAATATATATTTTACACTGTGATTTTAAAACAATATTTTACAAAAGTTATTCAAAACGATATATATTTTAATTGCATTTTGCATGTTTTATATTAAACTCATTTTGACAGGCACCAAATGGAGATCAAATGTTTTTCATATGATATATATATATATATATATATATATATATATATATATATATATATATATATATATATATATATATATATATATAATTTCAGCACATGTTCAGATTTTTTTAAATATCTCCTCTTTCCACAACTCTAAAATGATTATACTGATTTAAAAGCAAGCATGCATAAATGTTGATGGCTTTACCTGTGATGTTATTTGTGATCCTGCAGTCTCCTGAATCGCAGCACTGACCCACGCTGCAGTACCAGGCTGTCAGTATGCCAGTATAGTACTGGGGAAACCCTGACCAAATGTCCCCAGTAGGCACTGAGAGCAGAATGTGTGTTACATAACTCGGCATTAAATTACATTACGATTACAAATACAGAAAACATTTCAAATGAGGATAATAAACATAAGTGAAGCCAATTGAACTTGAAGCCAATTGAAAAATATTACAACAAAGACCATCCATTTATAATTAATGTATTGCTATGATCATACACAGAATCATAATACAGTTTTATGCTAATCGTTGGCTGAAATTTACAACAAAATGAACACAAGAGTCTGGTTTTCTACACAATATTGGTTTATATCATTAAAAATTACCTTTTATCTTTATGAAATCACCATCTGTCAGTATCCATCTTACTTATATTTACCTTGTTGAGTCGCGTCATCCTGATGTGGTTGACAGTCTCCTTCCCAAATATTGCAATAGAGGTAATTGAAATAATAGGTAGAAACATTGGAGATGCTTTCGAATTGGAAAAAATCCGCATTAGCCGAAACAGCCAGGAGTGATGACACGATTACCAAGGAAAACATCGGTGCCGACAGAAATATATAGCTAGTAAAAAATGTAACATTGAGCTATAGGATTTAACTGCAGCGTCCATTCAGACACATCCGAGTCTCACCGATGACAGGCCGCAACTGAAACGCGACGTCACAGTCTTCATTGTAATAGTAGAACCTGAGTGGTTATTGTAAAGGGTTAAATGGGCGGGCATTGGGTCAGTAAAATGGATTTTATTTTATTTTTTTTTAAAAACAAGTTCTCCTTGATTTTTAACGGATAGCAAGCCATTCTTCAATAATAGCGGTAAAACGTATATTAAAATACGTTTTTTTAGAACGTGAACGCCACGGGGTAATTGTTACTCTTCTCAACGCTAAGCAGCCAGGACCAATCACAGTCAACTACGACTTTCCCGATTAGCTTGCTTAAACCACTTTACGCCCACATTGAATTTGGGTGGCTATCAGATAGATTTGGCTAAACTTTTATTTCATATAATTTATTTGTAGTTTGTATGTATATGGTTTATGGTCTTGAGGGGAAATTTTTATTTTAATACATATATACACACACACATTTATATAAATTTTCACCCTCAAGACCATAAACACACACAAATAAAAAATTTCTATTTATGGTCAAGGAAAAAAAAAAATATATAAAAAGTTTATGGCCAAGAAAAAATATATATATATATATATATATATAACATATAGGTTTACGGTGAGGGAAAAGAGAATTTATATATACACACACTCTAATATATATATATATATATATATAAAAGGTTTATGGTCTTGAGGGAACAGTGTGTGTGTGTGGTTTATGGTCTTGAGAAAAAAATAAAAAATAAAATCCACTCAAGAGTTTACATTAACTATTTAAATCATACTTGCAACTATCCGTGCAATACATTGAAAGATACCACACTTAATGCAGATTAACTCACACACCAACTTCAGATTAATAGCAATTTATTAAAGTCATAAAAAAAAAAAACACATTTCCATTGAAAAAAATCCTCAGTCAAGCAGATGCACACAACTTCATTCTGCAAGGAAAAAGGGAGAGATTTACAACAATGTATAAAACTTCAAGGTTTTAAGTAAGTCTAAGTTAACCTCAGAAATATGGAACGGTTGGGGTATAATCATTAGATTCATTTGGCAGAATCATGTCGTCACAGGTTACAAGACAGACTAATCACATGGCAAAGTCGCACCTTTTACAGAGGATGAGGCCCTTTGAACAAAGGGAGGGGCAACTGAAACTTCACCCAAAAAGTCAACCAGATGAACTCAACTTCATCCTGCAAGGAAAGACAAATAAATTTAGCAACATGTAAACTTTAAGGGTTTCAAGTAAAAGTTCAAGTTAACCTCAGAAATATGGAACGGTTGGGGTATAATCATTAGGATTCATTTGGCAGAATCATTTCATCACAGGTTACAAGACACTGAACACAAACATGGGAAAACCATACCCTTTTCAAAACTGCAGAGGCTGAAGCCCTTTGGACACCTTAAGAAAAGAGAAAAAAAAAAATTGGCAAGTTGGTCAAAGTCAACCATTGAGCCCAGTCCAGGGCTTGAGTTTCAGTCAAAGATAAATCCACACTGTGCATTCAGGTCAGACATTTGTAGAGCATCACAAAACCCAAAACTTAAAGAAAACAGAATAAAAAGGTGTGAACAAACCTCCAAGTAACATTCTTCATATTGCACTATGGAGAGCTGGCCACTGTACCTGTCAACAAGACACCTGTTAGAACAAAACATTCACAATGAGGCTCAGAATTTAGACGGGACCAGATCAGACAGAGCTAATATCCATCCTCCATGGCTTAAGTCAGTGGACATCAGATTCATCACACTAGTCAAGATCTGAAGGACTCCACTACAAAGAGCAATACTTACAAGGATGGCAGTCATGAAGATACTGGATGGGAGTCCTAAAACAAGATTCAACCCATTAAAATCTACCTAGCTTGAGGTGGTAAAGCTCACTTCTAATCAGTCTTAAATCAGAAATGCTTCCATGTCCTCAATGAGATCAGAGACCTGATTCACACTCATCAGCTTGAGACCACTTTTGCTTCGGTTACAACACTTTAAATGTGCACTCACCATGAAGACTACTTTAATGACGGGTCATTCATCTCCATTTTAAGTCAGAAAATCTGCAACACAAAAACTAGACATTAGAGCAAATAAGCTTCAAATATAGACCAATTTTTGCATGGTGATGCATCAGCTAGGAGCGAAAGACATTGCTCTGTGTTCTACATGGAGTTTCTGCTGAACTATGCAGTCATCATCTGCATCACATTTTAGGATGGTTATATGGCAGACTAAGACTCACCTGAAACGATTGGCCACATGCAGACATCTTGCTGCAATGAGAAACAACAAGTGAGCATGGGCAATGAGTGGAGCATTATTGAAATAGGACTGTGGTGATGCATCAGCTAGGAGCGAAAGACATTGCTCTGTGTTCTACATGGAAATTCTGCTGAACTATGCAGTCATCATTTGCATCACAATTAGGGGTGGCGTTATAGAATTTAGGTTATAAAAGTCAAGTTTGGAAAAAAGGGCACCATTGCATTACAATTTTACTAAAACATTGAGATACTACACAATTAAAAGTTAACTTCTCACTTAAAGACAACAATTTGTTTACCATATCAGCTGGAGTCTTCATACATTTTCAATCTTCTTGGGGAACCTATATAAAAAATAAAATTAATTAATACCACACAACGAAGAAAAGAAAACCTAAGTATTTTAAACTGTACTGTTTCAGTTTATTAATGAGGTCTTTCAGTCTTATTCAGAGAGATTCCCAATGTTATAAAACAGTCATCATGAACAGCAATAGGCAATAAGCCAGAACAATTGAGTTGATGCCCATCTGCAGAGACTAATTGGAGATGCTCATAAACACCCACCTCAAGTCAACTGACGCCATCTCCATACAGCTTGATCCACCTTTTTAGGCAACCTATAGAAGTGAAAAACCATTAGTACAGGACAAAAATCTAACAAAGGCGTCTTAATAAAGCACTGTTTCAGCATAAAGATGTCTCTTTCAGTCTAATTCAGAGAGATTCCCATTGTTTCATTTAACAATCATCATAAACAGTCAATAACACCAAGAAAAATGCCACTCTGTAGTCAGAACTTTTAAAAACTCACCTTCAAGTTGAACTGCAGAGCACATGACCCTGCAAAGAAAAGAGAACTTGTAAATATCAAAATGGACAAAAAAAAAAAAAAAAAAAAAAAAAAAAAAGATTGGTTTATGGTGCTTCAGACAAGGTATTTTGGTGGTTGCAATTTCATCAGCATGAAATCAAGAGTAGCAAATAGGGTCATCATATGCACTATACAAGATAACTAAAGCAAAAGCACTCAAATCAAGATACCTTGGAGATGATTCAGACCAACAGCAGAGTCCTGAAAAGCAAAAACTTGCATTACAATGCTGCAAAGACATGGTAAATCTTTAAAAGAGGTGGAGTCAACCCAAATTAATCATTAAAGTGAAAGTTTATTCACATGAACAAGAATCTAAAAGAACGTTGAAGGAAAAACATTGATGAAATCGAACATTCAGTAAATCTTTGTTCAATAGAAAACTCAAAAAGGAAGCAGAATTTGGGTAAATTACTCAATGCCTCAGAGTAAAAATTATCAGAAATCACTCCTGTCCACTACTCTTATACATTTTTATTCATCATAGGCAAAGAAGATATAAAAACAAATAATAAAACTTGTATACCTGGTGTTTATTTTTAACACTTGAGACTCAGGATCTGTAGAAAAGAAATATATTTATTAACTTAATGTAACTGCAAATTATTACCTCATTACTCATATGCAAGGAGGTAAAAACTGCAACTTTTAATGATAGATCCATTTGGTAGTTTCACAATGCCTCAGATTAAAAATGTTCTCAGAAATCACTTCTGTCCACTACTCTTATACATTTTTAATTCATCAAAGGCAATCAACGAATATAGTAGCGACTTAAAGTTAACACTTGCTTACCTGCTGTTCCACATTAGCCTAAGATAATTGAAAGACTCGACCTGGAAAAAAAAAGAAAAATCTTTAATGTTCTGCATGAACAAACAGGAGTCAGCATATTTTAATTGCTACATGTCAGAAATGTTGGCATTCATCAGATTTTCTCAGATGTCCCTACCAACATATTCTTCATCATACAAGTAAACACGAGGCCTTAAGCAGCAGTCAAACCACGCGATTATTAAATGGAATACAAATACGTGTTTGTCAACAGCTTTAGTTAATGATTTAAGGTCAAAACAGGTTACAATTTCTAAGAAAAACTTGCATAAAGTTGTATTTTAGCGTGCCCCCGAGGCCTGTAGCACGTGGAAGACATTTTGAATGAATATGAATAACTTATTGCAAAACAACATCGGCTTTAAGTATAAACCAATATTACATAATGGAAATACTGTTTAATACGACATTAAAGCCTCAAACACTACAATAAAATAAGTTAAATAGTTATTAATACCTGGCTACTCAGAGGATCACCGCGGAAGAATGAGACCGAATGAGGGAATCGCTTTGCCTTTTATACTTCTCCAGCGCAAAGGTTTCTGGGAAATTCCACTGCTTATATGGTAGGTGGACACGCGGTGGCGTTGTAAGGCTTGTAATCATTGCTTGTAATGCTTACTGACATGTTACTTGAATGCAGATAAACGGTAAAAGCAATGTTAATACTTATTCGTTTCAACAGTTCTATTACTGTAGTAGGTGTAGCAGTGGTTAATACATTAGTTAGGTACACACAACTCTTATTAGTAATACCAGTTAAATGAGGACATTGGGGAGCCATTTAATGAATTCTGATGAAAATAAAAATCTCTATGATCAATTCCTTTTCATATAACCTTTTTAATTAACAAATAATGATATATATATATATATATATATATGCACTTTACTAATCTATGCGTTTACGAAGAGTAATTTCAAGCCAATACTTTTATTTAGAAATGATTAAAATGCTTATAGTGATGTTGTTCACTGAGAGTGATTTTCGTCCCTTATGTTTGTCCAGAACAAATAAGCCTATTGTTTCCTATAAACAATTCAGTGTTTCAAGTTTCAGCAGTATTAGAGCTTTTACATTTCGTTGTTTATTTTTAATAGATATGAATATAATTCAGTCAGTCCAGTTCAGGTGACCCTGTATAGTTCACTTATAGTCACCCTGTAGCCCAAGATCGGTTACTCACTCTGAATCTAGCAGGGCTGAGCCTGGTCAGTACCTGAATGGGAGACCACATTAGAAAACTGGGTTGTAGTTGGAAGTGGTGTTAGTGAGGGCAGCAGGAGGTGCTCAATCTGTGGTCCTAATGCCCCAGTATAGTGAAGGGGACACTATGCTGACAGTGAGTGCCATCTTTCGGATGAGATTGTAAACAGAGGTTCTGACTCTCTGAGGTCATTAAAAATCCCATGGCACTTCTCCTAACGAGTAGGGGTGTGACTCTGGTGTTGTGGCTAAATTCTCTCCATCAGGCACGTGCACACATAGGGCTCAACCTGTGCAGTGCACATGCCCTTTTTAGTCTTGGATAGAAAGTGCCCTTCCAAAATAATCAACAGTTCCCCTGCGTCACCCCCCTTCCCCCTTCGGTAGGCGCGCGACAACACCGCTTTACAGTACGCACGCGCACATCTACTAAAATGTAATACAGTACATTGTTTAAATAGTAAAAAAGTTGTCAGATGAATTTATAATCATTTTAATATATGTTAAAAGGGCCTTGAGGATCACAAAGCAGCAGTGTTGTTAATAATAATAATAATAATAATAATTGACTCAAAAATGTTTTTGCTGTTTGTTCAAACTATCTATTTAAAATGAGCTGAATCAACAATTCTGGAGCCTTTTTGGCACAACTTAAAAGTTTAAGTTCAATCCACTTAAATTTGCAAAAACAAAGAAATTAATCTATTTGTGTTAGGACAGCTTGAAGGAATTGTGTGGAACCCAGCATTTTTTACGTGTACTAAGTTTTTTTTACAAAAAGGTTTTATCATTTAAAGCAGGGGTCACCAATCTCGGTCCTGGAGGGCCGATGTCCCTGCAGGGTTTAGCTCCAACATGCCTCAACACACCTGCCTTTGTATTTCAAGAATACCTAGTAAGACCTTGATTAGCTTGTTCAGGTGTGTTTGATTAAGAGTTGGAGCTAAAATCTGCAGGACACCGGCCCTCCAGGAACATGTTTGGTGAGCTCTGATTTAAAGTATTATAAAATGTATTTCAGTTACTTTCAGCACAAATCAGAATAAATTTGAAGTTTTATATTTACAGAAATATAACAATTATGCTGACGGATGCTAAACAATTCACTCAAATGTTGATATTTTAAACATTAGACACCATGTTGTGCTCATTTAATATCACACAAAATCATTTTTGTGAATTTAATTTATGTAAAAAAAAAACGAAATAAAAATGTATATTAGAAAGTTACAGCTTTAACTCATTGTGATTTAAGAACTCAAGGAATGCATTCAACCTTCTCACACAATTTGGTCTCACTGAGATTTAATATTACATTTTGATACATGGAAATCTGGTACAATCAATTGTTGTCACGCAACAATTTTTTTTCTTTATTGACGGATGGAGGGTTGCTTCCTGAAAGCAATACTAGGCGAAAGTGAACTTAACTGCATATGGCAAGGCCTCAGATTTACTACAGAATATGAAGAGCAAGTGTAAGATATAACAGTAGCAATGTTTTCCTCTATTTGCATCTCAGGGAAAAAAAAAGGCTTACAACTCGATTTGGCTTCTGGAAAACACCACACCAAGTAAAGACATCTTGATGTGTTTTACTATAACAGAACAGAATCAAATCTCTGAGATACATCACTATATGAAACGTATATTTATTCAGATTAAAACGTAACATTTCACAGAAACAAGAGATTTGTAAGGGGGGCGATTTGTGATATAATGTTGCTTAACCTCAAATGTATAAGCACAAATCTGTTGGATCGTTTCATTGTGCAACATTACAATTATTTCCTACCGGAGAGTCCAACTTTAGACTAAGTTGATAAATTATGTGGACATTCAAGCAGCATTCTATATATGTATATATAAAAAAAACAGCCTTCCCGAGGCTCTAGAGCATATCAAATCATTCCCAAAAACACACACAAAAAAAACTGGAATGGATTATAACCAAGGCAAAATTGTCTCAAATTTCAACCCCATAATGTCAATGCCAAATTGTGGCTTTTTGTAGCATAAACCTGCATAAAGGCTGATGATGATGATGATGATGGTGGTGGAGAGGAACATAAAGGGAATGGTTGCCGTCAAGTATGTATTTACTATTGCCCTAAAGAAAGAAAATGAAAACAAGAATATATCATATCTTCTATATATATATTTATATATATATATAAATAGCTGTAGCTAGCAGTATGTGAACCAAGTTCTCCTTGTGTTTACTTTGTGGTTCCACCATTAAGGCTTTTCGAACATTAGGATACAGCCTTCAATCCTCAGTCCGCTGCTTCCCTGAGATACAGAACGCTGTAGTTTTCAGTTTTGTTCGATAAAAACACCTCAACCCCTCGGGAAATAGACGTCCGCTGGGATCGCTTGTTGGATGCTAAAGGGTTTCAGGTCTCGTCTTCATTGTGTTTTGTGGTGTTTTTCTTCCTCAAGGGGTGGTGTGAAGAGGTGGAGGTGTTGAATATAGCGAGCAGGGAGAGTCTTTTTTTTTCATTTGTTTTGTATAGATTGATAAGTTCGTGTTTTCTTGTCTTCATTCGTTCAAACTTCAAAAATGCAAAGCTGTAAGAGTTCATTCGTCAGTCATTCCAAGGCTGAATAAGAAAAGTGTTTTGCGAGAGACAAGAGAGAGCGAGAGAGAGTTCTGTTTGTAGACTCTGCTTTTGGAAAGGGGCTCAGTGTCGCTTCAGGAGAGGCTTGTCGTAAACCCAGCATTCGCCGTCCTCATGAAAGAGCTGCAGGGAAACAGATAAAGTCACAACAATTTAAAGATCCGAACAAAGATGGTGTAAACAAAGACGCTTTAAATAATGTTAGTGTATTTGAGAAACCGTTTCAGTTCACATTTCTATTAGGGCTGCAAAATATAAAAAAAAATTAGACATCGCGAATAAAATGATTATAATTTCACCAGCCGATTTGAACAGCTCTATTTAGACAGAATTAAATACATTTAGATCAACTAGGATGATCAAGTCTTTTTCTGTGCAGTGCATTTGCATACAATATAATAAATTACAAGCGCACATAAATATGACAGATCAAAAATAAACGTTAAATGAACAGTGATAAAGTTTCACTCTATTATTGGTATTCTTTCCAATGACTCCAGCTGATCAACTATAACCGCAACTCAACATTTTTTATAGTGGACACACACTTTGCGATATCGATGCTGAAACAATATATATTGTTCAGCTCTATTTTCTATGTCAAGATCCTATTAGCTATGTTTCCATCCAGCAATTTTTAGAGTATCGCATAAAAATGCTTAATTTAAACTCCAAGATTTGCATACATTTTGAAAAACTGAGAAGGACAAACTTTATATTCAATAAAAACATTTGCATAAACTATGATAGAAACATTTGGGAAAAATTCTAGTATGTGCATCAAAAAAGCGATGTGATTTTATTTTAAAAGATCATGTGATGATAAAATCTTAATGGGCAAACCAGCCGAAATGCATCTGAAATGTTACTTTGGCCTTTTTGAAATCCCTCAACCAATATGGTTCGATATAATGACTCACAAAGAGTGTCTTAAACCTCATTCACACAATGAGTGACTCGCAGTGGCAAAGCGACAAGGCGAGCGTTCATTTTAATGGAGAGTGCGCAATTTCTGGTGACCTCCGACAGCGACCGTTGGGGACCAGGTAGAGAATCCTGCATCTTTATGCAAATGAAGAGCAGCTTCCTTGAGGGACAGCCAATAGGAGCACCAGTAGAGCTTACGTGATTCTCTCTCAGCTTGCTCAGAGGCTGGTTGTATTCTCCGTGCTGTATAAACCTACACAGACCGGCATTTGCAGCAGACCGCTACCTAGATCGACAGGCAGCTACAAAGTCGCTGCTAGTATGAATGAGGCATTATGCCTCTAAAAGCCACTGTGTGTTCATTGGATTTAATCCTCGTCTTCTGAGGTGCCAGTATATTAGTAGTATATATAAAAAAGGTCAACAGTGGTTTCTCCTACGGCTGAAAATGTTTAGGATATTTGGCACAAGTTTACCCAAAAGTAAACAGATGATTTTGTTCTCTTTGACTCATGCTGCATTATTCTCAAATGTTTTATGTGATATTCCAGTTTTGCACAAACATTTAATTCACAGGAGAATGGAAACATAGCTAATGAGTGTGCTCCTTTCTAAACATAAACACAACTACATATTTTCATGTATGCAAGTCCACTTATTTTATACGTCCACTGTCTACCTGACAAATTAATCTGACTGTGTTCTATTATGAAGGTTATATTAGGAGTTCAAAATACAATGAATACATTTCATAATTTATTTATATAATATTTATGCACTTTATAGTATTCTGTATATAATAATTACTTTCAAAATAATTGATATAAAGTACTTTTTAAAATGTATGTATTTATTTTTTAATGGGTTTTCACCCTTAATGTGATAGGACAGTGAACGACAGACAGAAAAGTATTGGGAGCAGAGAGAGGGGAAGGATCGGCATAAGACCTCGAGCCAGGAATAGAACTGGGGAAACGAACTATGGTGCTATGTGTCGGCGCACTTAACCACTAGGCTATTGGCGCCGACCAATTATTTTGAATCCAAATGTGATAAAATAAATGGGTAAAAATATTATAGATTAAATATAATTTTTTTAAAATCACATTTAATTATATAAATACACTTTAATACATTTTTAATATGAATAATGTACATTAATGAAAGTTTCATTAGTTAATGTGTTATTTACTAAGGCAAAAAAAACAATGGACAGTACATTTATTACAGTATTTATTCATCTCCGGTATCATTAATGAAAATTTAGACATCTGTTGTTACTTTTGGTTCAAACTTCATATTTTAATGATGAAAATGTTGAACTATAATGAATTGTTGTACAAGAATATTCATTCTTAGCTCATGTTAGTAAACACATTACCTACAATGTTTATATGATTTTATAATAAAATGATGCTGTTTTTATAGTAACAATATAACACAACATAAATGTGCAATTTGAAAGCTTTTATACTGAATTATACTAAAGCCAACATCCTCAAAACTATTCTGCTCCTTTAATAACTATTTTAAGAGCCTAATTCTCTTAGTTTTCAAGAACCAATATGGGACCACATCCATGAATTGGTGGATGTGCTGAACTACATGTAATAAAAAATGAGATTGAAAAACTGTCAGGTGCTGCTGGGCTAAATTAACATTGATCCATATTATAATGCATAATCCTCAACTTCTGGACATGCTGCTGCTTACAAGCACTAGGAGAAAACTAAGCAGCATTTCTCAGAACCATATTTCAATGTAACGACCACAAACAGACTCACTCTGGTCTCCCACTGCATCTCCTTCTCCTTTCTTTCTCTGGCCTCTGCCCTCTGTTTCTCCTCCAGCCTGTGTTTGGCCTCCGTCGCTGCGTCGATGTCCTTCAGTTTCAGGTTCATCGTCACGTCCTTCCACAAACTGACAGGCAGACAGAGAAATAAGAGCAGTGTGCATTAGATCACCTCGCAGACCAACCCAAGCAGAAAACAAAACACATCACTTCAGCAGCTCCCCAGGGGACATGCCACAAAAATAACAAAGCCTTTTCAAGATCAGCAAACCAAACAGAGCTGCCAATAAAACACTGTAGATTTGGTAAGTCCACCTCTGAAAATGCTTGTGTTTTGATTTCTCATTTAAAGCAAGATAAGCAAGCAATTTATCTCCTTAAAAGGGCAACTTTTTAACCCCTTTTCAAGATTTAAGAGAAGTCTTTTGTATCTTCAGAATGTGTCTGTTAAGTTTCAGCTCAAAACACCCCTCAGATCTTTTTTATTATAGCTTTAAGAATATTGAAAGTTTCTGCTCTCAACAACATGTAGCTGTTCTTGTTGCCTGTGCCTTTAATGCTAGTTCTCCCTGCCCACATGCCTGTCAGAGTGTGCTTCAATCTCCACCTTGGCTGCGTCAGATAAACAGCACAGTGACATCAATACTGATTTTTTCTGTCATGTGGCAGTGGCACACATTAGGTATGGCCCATTATGTGTAAGCTGCAAAATCACATGGATTCCTATTTACTTAAATCAGATTTAGGCCTTGTTCATATGTAGAAATGTATCTGATATGAATCAGATCCGTGCCTTTGTGTCTGCAGTGTAAGCCGGTAGATTGGATTTTCAACTGCTAATGCAAGTCTCGTATAAATAAAAACCATAGCGAATGACGTCAACTCTCAGGGCCGGAGTGGGACTCTTTTTCAGCCCTGGAGTTTCAAGCCTTAGATCGGCCCACCTCAGTTCACGACTGACTATATTAAAATAAGGTCATTTCCAATTCAGTATCTAATTACACTATCACGTCTTTTTTTTTTTTTTTTTTGAGAAAACAGCTGCTTTAGAACTTTAAATGTTCAAAAACCCTAACAGTATTATATGTCTTAACAATAAAACTATAATTAAAAAAAAAAAAAAAAAACATACTCAGATAAGAATCAAGCCCGGGTCGGCGGCGTCGTAATCTTACGTGCTAACCACTGGACCACAACAGTTGTTTATGAAGGACTGACTCATCTAACTAATATCATCATTAACCTGTAGGCTGGTTATATATAAAAAGAGCAGAGCTGCGGTAAAATAATGAATAAGAAGACTGTAGTCAAGTAAGTAAATAAATTAATTTAAAAAGTGTGACTGCTGAGAGCAACAGATTCTGGAGCTAGGGACACCGGCCCTCGCGGCCAAAAAACGAACCGGCCCACCGGGAATTCTCCCGGTCCTCCCGATTAGCCAATCCGGGCCTGTCAACTCTCATGCTTTCATTTCAGAACAGAGTTAATCAGATTCTTAAATGAGAAAAGATTGCTTTCATTATCATCTGTCAGTCAGCGCCCAATCTTTTTTTTCCTGGTTAATGCAGACAATTGGATACGAGTCCTTTTTAAAATATGACGTAAGCAGATCAACCAAAAAAAAAAAATCACATACAGTCACAAAATCAGCATTGATTATCAAGATCAGCGGTATAAATGTGCTAACTAGTCCCTACATAGAAGCAGTTTAAGAAAAAAAAAAACTCACTGTTGTCTTGAAATACAAAATCTGAATATTTCAACAGCCCATTACAAGTTATTTTGTAATTGTGCATAACTTTTAATAAAAAAAAAACTTCTGTGGTTAAAATTTGTATGTAAATAGACCATCTGGACTTTCCAAATCACTTTACAAACTCTCCAGGATAGAGTGTGAAAATAACACAGCTCATTTAGTAATCCAAATTAGATTTAGGAACCTGAGGGATTAAAGTTCATTCCTAACTACCCAAAATTCAAATTGGTTTTTAAGGCTGGTTTCCCTCGACTTGCCACGAACTCAAGCCTAAGATAGATATATATATATATATATAAAGCATCTGAATCCGCACTGCAGCTTGAGAGGAAAACAGTCTTTGGAGATGTTTGACAGTTGTGGCAAATCCTTTTTCAGAGGTTCAATAAAGCAGACAACAATTACAAAATAGTCACAAAAAGACCTACACACCATCTCGATTCATATTCCAATTGGTCTTCCAATTTCCGCACCTTCTTCTTAATAAGGCCCAATTTCTTTGTGTCAATGAATACTGCATTTTCCTAAGAGGACAAAACAGACCGTTTATTTCAGTTTTATTCTTAAATGCGTTTATTCTTTTTTTATATATGTATAAAACTTACCCCGGTTGCCAATTTTGAATACATCACACCGTTCCACTCTCCCTCTATAGAGCAGTATGACTTCTTATCATTGGGAGCACTAAAAAGGACAATATTATTACAAATTTCTTAATGCTTTTGCACAAAATGTAGATTTCTTTGCTTGAATTCATGATCATAAATAGTAATAATTGTAGAAGCATAATTGAAAATAATTGCAATTATGCAATTGCGAATAATTGCAAAAATTAACATCAACTAAGAATGATAAACGCTTCAGTTGTCTGAATATTATAATCTAATCTAATATAATATAAAAAATATAATAAATATAATATAATAAATATAATATAATATAATATAATATAATATAATAAATATAATATAATATAATATAATATAATATAATATAATGTAATGTAATGTAATGTAATATAATATAATATCTGAATATTGTTAAATGGATACTAAAACTTTAAATAACAAATAATAATTCACTGCATGAGGCGACACGGTGACTCAGTGGTTAGCACTGTCACCTACCTCATGGATGAAAACTTGATCATCCATGCTCATCACAATATATTGTAATAATGAATATCAGCATGTTTAAATCACAATAAAGGAAAACATTTGGTTATTAAGATACGAGATATTTCAAAATGTGGGTAATACTTTAGAATAAGGGTCCGTAAGTAAATGTTAGTTAATGTATTTACTAACATTAAGTATCAATAATCTTGTAAAGCATTTGTTAACCATAGTTCAACATTAACTAATGCATTATTAACACCCAAAGTTGTGCTAGGTAACATTAATGCACCATGAGTTAATCTGAACTAACACTATTTAACTTAAATAACACTAACTAACGTTAACAAAGACAAATAAATAGCATAATTAATGTATTACTAACTGTTTGTTCAAGTTAGTGAATACATTAACTAACATTAAATAATAGGCCATTGTTTTGAAGTGTTATTAAATTATTATATTCATCCCATGTGTGGAAATTGATTAATGATCTGTTAATGTTATGAGTATTTTTAATAAGTATCATTCTGACTTACAATATTTCAGCTGTTATCCTGTGCTTCTTTCCTCCATAGAAGGGTTTGGTGTGGAAAACTATATTGGCACTGTAGCCAGATTTGGAACAGGAAATATTGCACTCTCCACCCAACTCAACCCACGGGACGGTGAGGATTGACCTTTGGAAGGACAGCGAGATGAGTGACACAAAATCTCAAATACAGAATATTATTGTGATAAAGCGACCCTTACCTCCCGTAGCCATTGGGAAAATTAAGAATATAATGCTCATCATATTCAAGACAAGACACGCAACCTATGGTAGACAAGAGTGGATGATTAAGCACTAGTAGCACTATTGTGTATTAATGACCATTTGTACTGTAAATAATTTGTTTGACTACCTTGACCAATATTATGGACTCCAATAGACATTCCCAGGAACTTCGATTTCGTCCAGATGTGGGCGTTGAACTGGATTTTTTTGCTGAAACATTCGGCGTAAAACGCAGATACTGCAGAAGCACAAATATATTAGAAAATGCTGCAAATAAAAAAAGTATAGCAAATGATAAAATCCAATGAAAGGCACCTGGGGATGTAAAGATTCACCTAACTCACAATTCGATACGACTCACGATACGAATCACATGATTTAGTCACAATTTCTTTTTAACAAAATAATTTAAAACAAATTTAAGGTGAACAAGAGCCCTTAAATTTTTTTCTTAAATGCTGCACATTTTTTGCTAAATAATATATTTTCTGCCATGACTAAATTGTTGTTTTTTTAAACAAATAATAAAAATACAAACTAACGACTCATAAATATAAACAAACTAAAACTGTGACTGTGCTGAGATTTAACACTATTATAAAAGAATTATCAGCATATCTCTGTTTTCCAGGATAAGCCGAGTTCTTTGCACATTTACAATGTCTCCTGCTGATAAAAAAAACCTTTTTCATTGTGGAATGAGATGGCTGGTGCGAAGAGGAAAGCCTTTCATAAACCAGAGAGCAGTAGTACAGAGGTGGTCAATAGGCTCTCTGATCCAGGCCACTGGCATAAAAACTGATCATTCATTCATTCTTTTTCTTTTCGGCTTAGTCTCGTTATTAATCCAGGGTCACCAAAGCGGAATGAACCGCCAACTTATCCAGCACTTGTTTTACGCAGCGGATGCCCTTCCAGCCGCAACCCATCTCTGGGAAAACATCCATACACACTCATACACTACGTACAATTTAGCCAACCCAATTCACCTGTACCGCATGTCTTTGGACTGTGGGGGAAACCGGAGCACCTGGAGAAACTCCACACAGAAATGCCAACAGATCCAGCCAAGGCTCAAACCTGTGACCTTCTTGCTGTGAGGCGTCAGCACTACCTACTGCATCACTACGGCGCCATAACAACTGATTATAAAATGACTAATTGTATAGTAGGACAGAGACAGGGGTTGAACTTGATTATGAAGGTGAATAATTAATAATACTTGTATAATGAATTAGTCTTAAGTATCAATGTTATACAAATACGAAGAGATCATCTTGTACATTTTTAAATATTCAATAACAATAAGCAAATTATTAAAATATGCATAAACTAATCTGAAAAGGAGATGGTAAAACTTATCTTATACCTGATTCTGTAACAGAACTTTGATTTCCGTAGCACTCAATGGAGCAAGCGGAGCTGCAAATCGTCCGGTCCGCGTGGTTTGGCTTATTAATAGTTTTTTTTTTTGTGGATAGATGTTTGTAACAGTAGTTTTTTCACTGTGCTGATGGTTTATGTGCATCATATTTGTTCTTCTGTTAGTGTAGGTAAGCAGTATTTGCGCACAGTTTGTGTTTTATCTGGCATACTTTATCGCTGACATTTTACTCTGCCGCCCCACCTCTTGCAGGTAAAGCAAGTTTGCGCCTGTAAACACAGCACCCCCTCTGTTCAAAACATGTATCACGATTCAGTCAACATTTCTATCGATTTGAATCATCACAATTTTGAATCGCATTTCTCAAGCTGAATCGTTACATCACTGGCACTAGTCATTATAAAAAGAGATTAATAACATATATATTTTGATAAATTAAACAAACAACGGCAAGATTTTATTTTTACTACGTCTTGTAAATGGCCTCAAAAATATTTACTAAATAAACTGTTATCATTCTTTCTGTTATAATACATTTTTTTCACTGTTTAATTTTAAATGAGCGAATAATTTGATAAATTAAATTAAATAATTATCGTTGTATTTTTACTATATATTTTAAATGAGTTTAATACTTATACATTTAAATACTTATACATTAAATTTAAGTTAGTCAAGATTAATATTGTTCTCACAGGTAAAGTCAGTTAGTTGAGCACTTACTAGGAGGGTGGTGAGAAACCTGCTCTGCCACAAACGACACACTGTTTTTGCTACTCCATGGTACTGGCCCGTCTGACACACACTCCTAAGTTGACACGGTGTTAGCAAGGGAAAAAAATAATAAAAGAAAAAGATAAATTACAACACAGGGAGCGGAGACAAATAAACTCTGTTACAGAAGACAAAGCAAACACTGGCTTTGCAAACATCAAACACACTCACAGAAGCAGCAGGATCCTCTGTTTCGGAGGGCAGGTCCCAGTGACAGAAAAACACCTCGCCCAGAATGGGGTTGTAGGGCTTTTTGGCCACAGATCCTTTCCGACCAGCGTGAAAGGCCGACAGGTACCACTTCACCACCTGCACCATGCGGTCCCTTGGATCCTGCTGCTCTGCAATGCTGCAAAACATGCCAGTAATCAATGAGTAATCAATCACAGGATTAGTGCGCATGTATTAGCATTTATGAGGGAGACGTGCAGCACTTCATTTAAGAAACATGTACAAATAAAGGAATGAGAAGCAAGAAAATTAGTTGATCATAATTAGAGTGGAAAAAAGATAAGTAGATCAAAAATATTTATAAGCTGTGAAATAAAACTAGCAGTACAGGGGAAGCTATTGATGAACTGTTTATAATTAGAAGTAGCAAAACTTCCCTTTACTAAAAGTAATCAGCTTCAATAACAAAAGAGAAAGAAACAACAAAACATATTACTGTTTTGCATTATACTGTACCTTTTACACTTAATACTGTTTTACTTTATTTTGTACTTTTTAAACTATTTACTGTTTTGCATCTGCACAACTCTGGTTTGCACTTCTTGCCCATGAGTGTAATTGTATTGTTTAAAAATGTTTATTTTTACTTATATTTATAGATTATAGGCCTATGTGTAATTGTATTTATTGTAATTTCTTTTTAAAAATTGTACTTTTTGTATTAATATTATCTGTCAGGCACCTTGGGTCAGAGTAACGCAGTTTCGATTCTCTGTATGTCCTATACATGTGGTTAAATTGGCAATAAAGATAACTTTGACTTTAAATACATTTCTTACTAATTTAAAATAAAACAACATATTATTATTTAGATGAGAACAGTTATTTGTTTTATAGAAAATTGCAATTAGTCAAAATAACAAATGTTTTGATTTGGTCTAATTAAAAAAATCTGAGTAAATCCACTTAATAAAGATTTTTATAATTGAAAAATTTATATTTTGTTGTCTAGAAATGAAAAAGAAAAATATTTTATACTATTAATAATTAATACAAATAAAATGTTCTAAATGACAACTTTTTTATTTTAAATTTGAAAAAAAAAAAATCAACAAAATATTAATATAATAAAAAAAATACTAAAATGTTTTAAATGGAATTTACTGAATAACTATTGCTAAAAGGATTTTCAAAACGCTGTAACTTGTATTAAAGTGGTGGTCCTCTATGATATCATATTTTTAACTTTAGTTGATGTGTAATGTAGCTGTGTGAACATAACATCTCTGAATGTAAGTTCAATGCAAAGAGAGACTGTAGGGCATTTACAGAGTTAGCTTAGCAAAGCTTACAGCGAGCGAAGTTTGGGGTCAACAAAAATGTATCCAGGTTAGTGAGATCTTAAATGCTTCAGGTTACGTGCATACAGCCTGTGTAGCAATAGGGCATGGCCAGAGGCACTGTTATGTTATAGCAGAGAGAGCTAAAATGCCGTCCAAACGTTGCTATTTCCACAGAGCTTGTTCTGTTTCTGTTTTTGGGCTTCCAAAGGACATTACACAAAGACAAGAGAGCTTACAATTTCATTTGAATTATATTCCAGAGTTATATATAAAAGATATAACTAGCATTTGACAAAGGACAGCTTCCAGAATCTCTCCCAGTTCAGTGCTGGATTCGGCTAAAACTCCACAAAGAAGGAGCAGCTCCAACCATAATAAAAGAACTGTGGATTGTGAGCCACAACCTGCAAGTAATTTTATTTGGTAAAATTGATCTATTACATGAATAGTTTTTTATGGTATGTTGTAGCAGAGCTGTAAACACACATGTAAACAAAGGGAAATGCAGTTTGGCACCATTAACAATTTAGCTACAAATGCATTTTTATCCATCAAACCGCTGTACACAATCACAATCTTCAGCAGCACTGCAGTGTCTCTATGCAGACACTTTTCCTGCGTTCTACATCCCAAATAACAAACTTTTAAAGATATGTGACAGTTTTATATTACTTTCACATGCTTATATTCCAAACATATATAAAAGACACTTGACAGATTTTTTATTTTAGAGGCATGCGGTTCAGTTGTATCCTCTTTACTTTCTGTCTGATTCAGACTCAAACTGATACGGCTAACAGCTAATCTGATTGACAGTATTTACACAACGGCAAAGCGCATGCTATTAGAGGCATGGCACTTTTTCTGGTGATGTAGAGCCAATCGGCAAGTCATAGCACATTATGTTAGCTAGCCAATCAGAGCCTCTTGAGGGCAGGCCTTTCAGAGGAACCAGGAAATATGTCAGTCGTTTTTATTTTAGCTGAGTAGCTGCATATAATCAAAGTAAGATACATGAAAAAAATAACGTAATTTTTTAAAATAATCAATTTCTTATAAATCGCTTATAAATTGCTTAGCATCTTATAAGCACAACCAAGCCTTAAAAATACACTCTGGACCCCCCCATTTAAAAAAAAGACATGACTATCTGAGCAAATGAACTTGGGGGATGTTTCATATACTTTTGTATATAATGTGGCTGTTTACTAAATCTACATTCTATGTTTAAAGTTAGTTACTTTATGCATAATTCTTAGAATTGGGTTCCAGTTTGCTTTGAGCAGAGCATGTTTGATTATATTCTTTGCTAGTAAATCTGGCCGGACAGCTTAATAAAAATCAATGCAATATTCTGTCACGCTTCACTGCTACTTGTTAGAAAAAAGCACTCCATTAGATGAACAGCTACTTTTCAAGCTACTCAAGAATGTGTTCAGCTTAGTAGCACTGCTACATTCATCAGTGATAACAGCACTGCCGTAATCAGACATAAGAATCAAGTCCATATGGCAGAGCAGCTGTGAGATCTGAAGACAAGCATTACCTTACAAACAAATCCGGGTGTGCAAAGAAATCTGCATACATTTCCAGCAACGACCTCCGCTCCAAGATAAATGTTGGCAAGACTACCTAAGGGTGACAGAGATGGATTGCAAAGAAGAAATTTTAGGGAAAAAAAAGAAAAGTGGAGATAGATGAAAAAAAAGAGAGAAGGTGGTTTGTGTTTACCTTGGTGAGATCCATGCCCAGGCGCACTTGAGACAGCAGATGCATGATGACACTTTTATGCTCTTCCACAGATTCACCCTCACCGTCATCATCTTTCTCATCATGACTGTCAAACTGATCTGAGAAAAACACATGGCCAAAAATGAACTCAGCGAACAGTGAACATGAAGCGTGAACACATAATTAAAAGGGAATAAAAAACATTTAACCAGGGTTTCTATAGCTTTTATTAAGTCAAATTTAAGACTTTTTAAGACCACTATACATTAACTTTCAGATTTACACAAGGCTAAACACTAAGGATTTTTTTCTAATGGCACAGTTAGAACATAAAAAACAACAACGCTGAAAACATAAGTTATTGTAAGAAAGATACAGTAGTTTAATTATATTGGTAAACAGTGTAACAAAACTTTTGGTAAAACTTTTATTGAGATGGATTGTTTGGTACTGTAGCTTTACATGGACATAAAAAAATCAGAACTGTTTAAAGTGATTTAAGACTTACAACACAATACTTCATTGATTTTAAGACTTTAAGGCCCTGCGAATACCCTGTTGATGGTAATAATGTGACATTTAAGTAGTTTTTTTTTTAAACACTGTGTTTATTGATTTTAGTAGCTTTTAACATGTACAACAGAACTCAAAACCAAACATACAAAATCATAATAATAATAATAATAATAATAAATAAAAAGTAAAACAATCAAAAAATACAAAAAAATAAAATAAAAAGAATAATAATACATTTCTGCAACCATTGTATAAAATGCAGACTTTCTGTATTTTTCCTAAAACTATTATACATTTTGCATGTAATAAACAGAAAGTTTCTTATCTGAACTAGTCAAAGTGTTGCAATAGGAAAAATATTTAGAATACAAAGTTTTGGACATTTGGGTATATCCTGTTTTAATACTATGGATAAAAAGAATTTTCTCCCAAAAATGTCCAACCAAAGGACACTTCCATAAACAATGATATAGAGTTCCTATCTGTTTATTGCATTTTATGCATTACCATTTAATGAATATTTACAGTACAAATACATTTAATATTGTTTTTGGAAAGTAAACAAACAACAAATCCTGTTGTTTTGCATTTAAATGTTTTGTTGTTAGTTATGTACATTATGGTATTCTTAAGTTATCAAATGCTTTAGTGTTTTCTGTGTTGTGATAGCAGGCGGTATTTGGGAAAATGATGGTGTGCTCATTCTATACATTAGCATTTACTTCATTGTGAGGTTTTCTCTTTACATGTGTAGGTGGATGTTAGCATATTATGAATGTAAAAAAAAGTCAGAGTATTCAGTAAGCTGGTATATTTGTACATTAAGGCATGATTTGTTTTTACAGTAAAATTCTATTTAAACTAAATTTTGCTACCATGTGTATATAATATATAATTAATATGAATATTCATAATTATACCAACAACATGAATGAAAATTTATTAAATAACATTTAATAAGTGTAACCAGCTATAAATTAAATGACTTAACATTAGAATGTTTGCTATTGAAATTTCTGCCTGAGTAAAATTAAATAAATAAATAAATACAACAATCCATTTTTCAACCGTGATTTACAAACACTTATTAAAATGTCATTCAGCTTAACAACAGTATTAAAAAGATATATTGAAATACTCTATTTATTGATTATTGCTGAGCCCAAAAATATTAATTGATTCGCATTTTATACTAAATAATATGTTTTCTACGTATTTAGTATCACTTTTGTAATAATATTTAATTAAGCAAACAGAATGTCTCATCTTCTGACCCATTAAGTTCTTATTTAAAAAAAAAAAGACAGTAAGAAAAGTCACCAAACACCGTATTTTCTCTGGAACTTGTGTCTGTTTTGTGTACCTGCATCTGTGGTGCCGTTGGACATGGAGGAGTTGATGGATTCGTTGGTGTCTGGCCGTTTCAGGGCTGTACTGTCTTCATTGTTTACAGCACTGCTTCTGCTCGGACTGCAGAGAAACACAAAATCACTTGTCAGTTTATTCCACAATAAACTAAGTGTTTTTTTGTTCGCATGTGTGTCCGTGGTCTGCTTTAATTAGGTCAATTTCTTTTTATTTGCAGTAAATAGTGTGTGGGGGTGTTTGTTTATCACCAAGCATTATTGTTTTCACATTACTTAATGTCCTTGTGGGCAGTGCTGACATAATTTACTTTCTCAGCAGTACTGCAGTGAGGTTTAATTACAGCTACATGGACAATCTTTTTTTAATTTTCTTTTTTTAAAATAATGCAATTATTATAAGGATTTTTTAAAAATAAAAAATAATAGCGTTTTAACAAAATGGTCCATTTGAGTATTAGTAGACTGTCTGCTTAATATCTGTTGATCCTGCTTCTTCCACAGACATTTAACTGACTATAAGAAACTTTGCAAATACATGTCAACTTGCACTAACTCTAACCCCAACCTAACAATCTATTTATAATCTAATGAGAATAAGTTGCCATGTAGATGCAATGTAATTTTAATTTTAATTTAAAATAAATGGACCATCAAAATAAATTGACCAATTATTGTTCCAAAGCAGCTTTACAAAAGGTGCAATACAGTCAAAATCAGAGAGTTAAGGTGTTGAGCATAGGGTATATACACGGAATATATAAAAAAAGTTATATATATAAATTTATACAACAGTTCTGCCTGGTTTTCGAATCTGATTGGCTGATAGCCGTGCAGTATTCTGCATAACAGCACTCGTACAGACTCGTCACCCTTCTGTATTTCTCAGCCCACATAGTGACAGCAGATCAATAAACTCACTACAGTTTGACAAATATTGCAGCTTAGGCGAGAATGTAGTTGTTTAGATTGCATCTGTGCAGTTTATTTAAAAGGATAGTGCTTATTGTAAATACTTGTAATTTCAGAGATGCAGCGCATTGGCATCCATCAGCCTGTCATAGTGACCAGAGCAAAGACAATTGACGCTTCGCCACATGATGGCGATAGAGACCGCGAAATTAGTCATTAGAGGAGAAAAACTAAGCGTAATTTTAAACTACAGCTGATCAAATCATTAAAACATGTGAGTGACATTCAAGTCGATCTCTCTCTTTTGTATGTTGTAGTGCTGCATTTTACCAAAGTAATATGGTAGTGTTTGCTTTGCTTTCGCTTTTTTTGGGGTTCATTTTTGTGATCTCCAGATTGCAACAGAGAAATACTGGGAAATCTCTGTAGACTGATGGCATTTCATGCTGTTAAGGCTTATATTCTAAAATGTCAGCAAAATCACCTGTTTTGTCATCACTTTAAATATTACGCTAGAAAATCATTATCAATCATTATCATTATCAAATACTAGCTCTAAAGTGACGTTTGCTGTTCTGACGTCCGCTAAAGATGTGAAGGAATAGTGGAAGAAAATAGTACCTCATACCAAAAAGATTTTTTAGACTCTCCATGTTTAATTTTCTTTTTTATACAGACGATTAAACCGTCGAACTGTTGTATAAATGATCACACTCGTAGTAGTGCAATATGGCTGTATATCGTCACTGGTGGGACACTAAGGCACTTGGCCAGCAGCCTTTGCACGCCTTCAAAAAGCGCAAATATACACCCATATCGCACTGCTCCTCATGTGATCATGCTCATATAGAGACAGAATATATACATAGTTAACCTGCAGTACTGTGTATATAGTGGCCTTTTCTAAAAGGTGATATCTATGTGTGTAATATATTTTTAATCAAGTGTATTTGAGAATTGCTTTAGTTTGTGCTGTCCTTTGTTGCAAAAAGGAAGACTAATATTTCTCAAGGTTACAGCAGTCAATAATGAGTAGGAAGTGTGCAGGCATTTGTTTAAATGACTTTAACACATCTCCAAACACAGGACATCACTAGTCTCTCACAGGACATCACTAGTCTCTCACAGGACATCACTAGTCTGCTGATCTTGATTTGTATTCTTCAGTTTTTCTCACTGTAGTGAGTTTATTAGCCATTACTTTGTCACCAAGGATTTCGATTTACTGGAAATGCCCAGATTAGCTAATCATTTACCAGACAGATGCTCAGTTTTGATCTCCACAGTATAGAAGTCTGTTTTTATAATTGTCCACCTTAGTTTCTATGCTGTTTTTTAGAGTGTGTGTGTGTTTTTGTGTGTGTGTGTTTGTTTAACTCACTCTATGCAGTGTTTTGGTGACGTGCTGTTCTGATAAAACTCATCTGCGTCGTAAAACTCGTCTTCGCTGCTGGAATAGGAGAAGTCGGGAACAGTGTGAGCCGGTACGTTCATGTGACTGGGTGAAGTCACGCTGCTGCTGGGACCTGAAGGACCGCTCCCTAAAACCACAGGAAGAAAATGATAGCAATAAATGTGTTGAGGAACTATGACTAACCACACTCATTTAAACAGCACCACAGATGAGGCTCAGTGTGGGTTGAGGTTTAATGCTTTTGTATATGTGGCTGACTTCTTGCCTCAAAATAAGTAGCATGACCAATGAGTTAATCTACACAAATCTACATTGCCAACAAAAAGTACATTCAGTTGAAGTCAAAATTATTTGCCCTCCAGTAAATTTTCTATTCTTTTTTTAATACTTCCAAAATGATGTTTAACAGAGCAAGGACTGTTTTCAAATATTTCCGATAATATTATTTCTTCTGGAAAAAGTCTAATTTGTTTGATTTCGGCAACAATAAAAGCCGTTTTTAATATTTTTATAACCATTTATGGTCAATATTATTAGCCCCCTTAGGCAATATTTTGTTTCAATAAGTTAAGCCTTTAAATTGCATACTGTTATCTTGAAAAATATCTAGTAAATATTATGTACTATCATCATGACAAGATAAAAGAAATCAGTTATTAAAGCTATTTTTGAGAAATGTGTTGAACATTTCCTCTTTCTGTTAAACAGAAATTGGGGAAAAAATATACAGAGGGATAATGATTCAGGAGGGCTAATAATTCTGATTTCAACTGTACACTCCCTTCGAAAGTCTTGTCGTCGATCCCAGTTGTAAGAGCAACAAATAATAGCTTGACTTCTAGTTGATCATTTGGAAAGGTGTCAGAAGGTAGATTTTTCAGATGTATGTCCTGTATGGACCCAAGATTCTCATAGAAATCAGTCAAGTTTGGTGAAGGAAAAATCATGGTTTGGGGTCACATTCAGTATGGGGAAGTGCAAGAGATCTGCAGAGTGGATGACAACATCAACAGCCTGAGGTATCAAGACATTTGTGCTGCACATTACATTACAAACCACAGGAGAGGGCAAATTCTTCAGCAGGAAAGTGCTCCTTCTCATACTTCAGCCTCCACATCAAAGATTGCGAAAGCAAAGAAGGTCAAGGTGCTCCATGATTGGTTAGCCTAGTCACCAGACATGAACATTATTGAGCATGTCTGGGGTAAGATGAAGGACAAGGCATTTAAGATGAATCCAAAGAATCTTGATGAACTCTGGGAGTCCTGCAAGAACGCTTTCTTTGCCATTCCAGATGACTTTATTAATAAGTTATTTGAGTCATTGTAGAGATGTATGGATGCAGTCCTCCAAGCTCATGGGAGTCAGACACAATATTAATTCTTTTTCCACTGCACCATGACTTTATATTCTATACTGCACATTATTTCTGATAAGTGACAAGACTTTTGTCTAAGCAAAGTCCGACCTTACTGTCCTAATTAAATCATTAAAAATCAAGGCATGATCATATTTTATTTTGGTAAAATAAGCAAAATCTAGAGGACATTTTTATATAAGTCACTTCTCATACCAATTGATCAACTAGAGGTCAACTTACTATTTGTTTTTCCTTAAACTTGGATAGGCGACAAGGCTTTTGTCAAGCAGTGTACTACAATATAATTTATTTGACAGTGACTACACCTTCGCCATTTGAGACAAACATGCAAATTCAAATAAACTTCAAAGACTTTAAAGATAAGTCAAAGTCAAAGTAAAATATTTTCTGGTCCACGTTTACAGTCAATCACCCTTATGTAAATACTGTAAACGGCCAAAGCTTACACTTTGATTGCAATTTACATTATGCATTTACTTGGCACCACTTAAAACGAATGAAAAATAGATGTTTAATCTGTAAAATACAAACTGAAAATGTAATAATTTATTAACTCTAACTTACAAAAGTAATAAAATCACATTATTACATATTATTACACAATTTTTTCTATTGTGTTTTATTAAATTAAAACAAAAATTAAATGCTATTCATCTTTAAAAACAGCAGATTAAATGCAACAAATGTGAATCTGTGGAAGGCTTCTTGGAACATCTTTTTTGGTCATGCCCGAAACCTTTTGGCATGAAGTTTTGGAGTGAAATTTTTAGATTTTACTCAAAGGTTTATTCCTGTGACCTCACCTCTGATCAGCAATAACTGTTTTTGGTTGGTCGAACTCACTTTGTGGGTTCAGTCATCAAATTTAAAAAAAAGAGCTGTCCAATATGGAATGGTGGAACCTAAAAAAAATTTCTTGTCTATAGAAGGAGGCATCATAACCACGTTTTAAAACCTGGCTTTCAAAATTCTCTAGCACTTTACATTGAGAGAAACTTAGACATAATCTTGTTGTCTAATCATAAGCCACATAGAAAACCTTTCTTAGTTGTCTGTCAAATGTCAAGGATAACAGTTTAAAGGTATGAACCTATCATTGTTTGCATGTGCCCACTGGCCTAGAAATATATGAGTAACATGTTTAACCTATGTACAACTGGAGGAACTGATGTAACAATGGTTTAAAAAAATATATAATTCTGCCTTTTGCCTTTTTTTTTGTTTTGTCTACCTTTTTATTTCTATCTTTATGGTTGTTGCTTTTTGTATTGATCTGTGTTGCTTTAAGGTCAAAATAAAATATATAATATAAAAATTAAATAAGATAAAAACACTATTACCATTAGATACACCATCCCCCATTAGATTCACCATTACATCTTTTGCTTTTCCACGTTTTTAGCAACACTGATTCAGGAAGCAGTTTTTCCATTAATGTTTTTTTTTTTTTTTTTTACACAAGGATCGATAAAAGAAGTCTTTGTTCAGTATTATAAGCTATAAACCAACCCGACCAGCTAGGAGGACAATTACAGCATTACAAATATTTATCTAAAGTAAAACAGTATATGAACATTGAACCTCTATTTAATACAGACTTCAAACATCTTAAAAAATGACTTGCACAGTACAATTCAAAAAATGTAAATCCAAATCAGATTATTGCTAGCAAAAGACCATGCAGATCACAATGGTGTTGACAGCCTAACAAATTAAAGGTTTGGTGGAACTGTTAAGATAAACACTGCTCAGAAGCTCCACTAGGTTTAATTAAATCATCTCCGCCTACAACGCCAGCACTTTCAGCACGAATATAAATGGAAGTCCTGATTCCCAGTCTGCACCTTGGAGCTCTTGACGGTGTTTTATGCGTAGTTTTCCTGCATTGCTGTCCAGAGTGCTAGCGATCAGTGTTTGTGCTTAGCTCAGCTCTTCCTGCACTGCCTCAGCACAAGCTGGACTCTTTGAGCTCCTGTATTCCAGCACTAATAATGACAGTCAGGGGAAAACACACAAACTGCAGAGAGAAGGGCTCTGCCTGCATCTACACTGCAGCGGATTACTACTCAAACACTGCTGCAACTTATACCAACGTGACATGGAGTTTGGTTTCAAAATATGTATTTATCAATATTTAAACATGTCAATTGAACAAATTTTCAACATTATCACCAAACTGAATTATACATTTGACTAAATTGTCATTTTTTTAAATGTCAATTTCATTTGTCTTTGTTTAAGATTAAATGGTTAAATAAGATACTTGAATACCAAACCAAAATCTGTTTAAATCTACACATTATTGGTCAGAACTTTGGAAACAACAAGTCTGCTCACCACAAAGGCTTCATTTACCAGATCTAAAATAAAATATCCACAATAATTCTGTAAAATATTATTTATATTTAGATTTTTTTTATATAAACATTATTACGTCCTATTCTCATCCGAGTTTTAATATTTCCATCCCTACTATTTCTGTTCTCCCTTCTCCCAGCACCGACTTGTTTATTCATTCATTTTCCTTTCGGCTTATTTCCTTTATTTATCAGGGGTCACCACAGCGGAATGAACTGCCAAGTTATCCAGCACGTTTTACACAGCAGATGCCCTTCCAGCCGCAACCCAGTACTGGGAAACACCCATACAATCTAGCATTCACACACATACACTACAGCCAATTTAGTTTATTCAGTTCACCTACAGAGCCTGTCTATGGACTGTAGGGAAAAACGGAGCACCCAGAGGAAACCCACGCCAACACGAGGAGAACATGCAAACTCCACACAGAAATGCCAACTGGCCCAGCTGGGGCTCAAACAAGCGACCTTCCTGTTATGAGGCGACAGTGCTAACCACTAAGCCAGCAGGCCGCTGTGTAAACGTACAGTGTTATAAAATGAAAATGATTTCTGATTCAAAGTGGGATTTTAAGCATTATTATAGTCTTGTGTCACATGATAGTTTAGAAATTACTTTAGGTTAAAAAACAAGTTTAATTTCTTTTATTAATGTCGTAAACAGTTGCATAAAGAAATGCAATATAGTACCATTGAAAAAAAAAAGATTGAATTTGAAAATGTAAACACTGATTACAATAAGAACTATAATTAATGATCGAGTATGACTAGTAACAGAACATAATAGAGTGATTAAATAACACTGCATTTGCTAGGAACACTTGCATACAGAACTAAAAGTTATTTAAATCTACATACTACTGCTCAAAACCTCAGGAACAACAAGTCTGCTCACAGAGGCTGCATTTATTTATTCTAAAATAAAATAAAAACAATAATTCTGGGAAATACTGTTTATTTTTAGAATAACTTTTTTTGTGTGAAAGTATTATAAAATGAAAATTATTTTGGTGATTCAAAGTTGAATTTGAAACATTATTATTACAGCACACGATGTGTCACACGATACATCAGAAATTACTCTAATTCAAGAAACATTTATAATTTCTTTAATCAGTGTTGTAAACCGTTTGTAAATTTAGCAAAATATAATATACTGTAGTACCACTGAAAAAATAAGACTGAATTTTAAAATGTTAATAATTGATAAAATGTAAAAACATCGCTAGTAATAAGAACCTTTAAGAAAAAGAATAAGAAATAAGAAAGTAACAAATTATAAAATGAAAATTATTTCTGTGATTCAAAGTGAAAAGGTGTCACACGGTAAATCAGAAATTATTCTAACTTGACAATTGGCTGTTCAGGAAACATTTCTAATTTCTTTTATCAGTGTTTTTCAATAGTTCGTAAATTTAGCAAAAAAAAAAAAAAACTATAGTACCATTGAAAAAAATATTTGAATGTTAAACATTGACTATGTTTACATAGACATCATTAATCGCATTATTAGCCTTAATCGGAGTAAGACAATAAAAGGAGTAAGGTGTTTACATGAGTTACTTTTTGAATCTTCTTTTCATGATCCCATTTTACATCTTAAAGCACATAATTTGATGAACATTTTGCATCACCGCGGTATCCACATTTTCTCCGGAGTTTCATGTAATTTCGGGTGTATCATTTTTAATTTGTCGACTTCACTGCAGTTTGGCACTTTTTACTTCCATTCAGGAACATTTCAAGCAAGATATTGGATGTGCATATGAAGTAAGCACTGCTGGAAGAGTGTTGTTTTAATGGAATTTTATACGGCACGCTGTATGGGAAAAAAACCTGCATTTCGCGATGCAGGTGTTTGTGGTCCTTCACTCACTCAGTAGGTCCAGAGAATAGTGTTAAACAGCCGTGTGTATGGAATATCCTGTTGCAAAATGCAACGAAAATCCCACATGATGGTAATAGTTTGATTAAACTGTTTACATGTCTGTACTTCAATTTAATATTGTGGCTAAAATAAGCATACTCCAAGTCTTAATCCGATTTCTGTTTAGTTTGATTATGAACTTAATCAAATTGAATTAATCAAAAATCGCTGTTTACATGGTCGACTCTTAATCAAGAGTATTGTCTTAATTGCATTAAAATCAGATTATTGGTGTCCATGTAAACATACTCAAAAATAATGATAAGAACCATAATTAATGATCGAGTATGAACAGTAACAGACCATAAAAGAGCAGCAAATAATTTAAATCACATTAGAATGATTTCTGATAAATCATGTGACACTTAAAAAATGTATCAGAGTAATCAATTTAATTTTATAACATTCCACAAAAAACAGCTATTGCAACTCTAAATAATATCTGACAACACTTCGATTTATACACCCTTGTACTTCTTTTAACAACATTAATGTCTTCAGACTTTTGACTGGTAGTGTATGCTTAAATTAAATGCACATTAGATAAAAAAGTATACTTTATCTGTAAGCCTCCACCTAGTTTTGTTTGTTTACTTTCTGTCTGTTGGTTTGTACCTGTGCTGTTGGGAGTGGGGGTCTGAAGGCTGCCCATCACCGTGACAACAGGGCCCACGGGTAAAGAAGAAGGCCTCTGCTCCGCTTTACACACCTGAGCTCCATCTACGGATGAACACACACCCTTCAAATACCCTTGGCACGCAAAAATACACACAATTTGCAAGTCAAATGTAATATTAGAGGTTTCAAATTAATAGATAACATAGCCAAGAAACTGACAACAAAAGCGCATAAAGCATTATTAAGAAATATAATGCAGAAAAAGACACAGGCAGAGAGCTCACCTGTGGGTAGAGTGGTCTGCGTTGGCATGGCACTAGCACTGACTACAGCGGCGTTGAGAGGGGTAGGCTGGAATACCCCATCCACTGGGTTTATGGTGCTCTGCGGAGAACCACAGACATGATACAAAACACAGCTCTCATAGGAAAACATGTTATAAATACACTCTCACAGTAGCCTTCAGTCTCAATGCCCAACCCAACTATCAGAGAAATCCTCAAGGACTGAAATTAAGTTACTAGAACTGTTTCTTAAAGAGACAATTCACCCTGAGTTTTGCTTTATATGACCTTTTCTTATATGAAAAATAAAAGATGGACATTCTTTGAAGGTATAAAGATGAAGATTTTGGAACAGCATGAGGGCAAGAAAATGAAGTAAATTGGTCAAGTACCTATTGTTTAAGACTAAATATGTATTCGAGTTTTGTTCTTTAAGCAGACTTTTTGAAATAAATCACGTATTTCTAATGATAAAGATAAAAAAACTATTAATTTTAAATTAATTATTAATTTTAATTTTTAAACAGAATTTTAAAAGTCTGAGGTCAGTATGTTTTTTGTAAAGAAAATATCAATTTAATTAGGGTGGAAAAAAATTCTCAAAACTGACAGTAAAAATCTTTCATATTGTAAAATAAATAAATAAATAAATGTTGCTTTTTGAACTTTGATTTATCAGAAAATACTTAAATTAAAATTTCTATTAAGATGATATTCAAAATTACTATAAAAATTTTATTAGCGAATAAAAACAGCATTTTAGATTTTAGATTTTTTAAGGACCACATCACATTTAAAAAAGTAGTGATGATAAAAATGTAAAAATACATTTAATTTTACAATTGCAAAAGATTTCACAATATTAGTACTTAGGTTTTATTTTTGATCAAGTAAATTCTGTCTCGGCCAGCATAATATCTTAATACACATAATTTATTAATGTGCATGCTAAATAAATACAGTTTGACTGTAAATACTCTCACTTTATTAGGTACACCTTACTTTAATCAGGTTGGACACCCTTTTGCCTTCAAAACTGCCTTAATCCTTTGTGGCATAGATTCATAGAGGTACCGGAAAGGAAACATTCCTCAGAAATTTTGGTCCATATTTATAGTAGTTGCGGCAGATTTGTCAGCTGCACATTCATGATGAGCATTGATGAGTTGCTGCCATGTGATTAGCTAGATAGACATTTCCGTTAACAAGCAGTTGGATGGGTGTACCTAATAAAGTGGCCAGTGAGTGTATAATGTATATTTAAAAAAAAAAAAGATCTTTTTCATTATTTCAGCAAATACCTTAAATAGAATCAGAAATGACTAATCTTTGATGATGTAACAAAGGTTAAGGAAAACTAATATGAATCAATGATTTAAAAATTTCATTTAATTTCTGCTCTGTGATTTTCCTTCAAGTGTTCTGTTATCAAAAAAATATGTGAAATTATAGAAGTTACATGCATTACGAATGCCCTTTCATCATGCTGTCCTTAACAATTTTATGGTTCATGTTCTTTTCACACAGAGAGCCAAAAATAGTCATTGACGCTTTGGTAATCAAGAGAAAGATCTGGAAGATATCAGTGAATCAGATTCACCGTTTCATAACAAACTGTGTCCAAATGAGAAACCTCACAGCTGTGGCCCATGACAGTCACACTGAATCTTCTCAATATACAAAATCACTATGGGTCAATCTCTGCCTTACGGTAACCAAACACTGAGCATCTGTCAGTGGGCACAGACTCAGACACAAAGCTATTAAGCTCCACGTCCATGACGACAAGAGTAGCACATAATCCTGCGTATTAAACACTAAATAGGCAAGGCAGAGAGATAAATAATCTCCACCCAGCATGCATGCACAGTGAAACATTGACACCACAGGACAAAGCAGTGAGGTAACTCTACCTGAAAACACACAAGGGATATGAAAACACATGCAGAGGAGAAAGTGGAATGAGATTTGGAGGGGCTTTTCTGCACAGAAATTAAAGGATTTAAACAACACAATTATTTATGGCTTGTCTGAATAATCCATGTACCACAACAGAGGCTGCCGCTCTTAATGAAAAGCCAATTGAAGCAATTAGAGCTCTGTAGTAAATACTTAAACATGACAACGAGATTAAATCAAGAGCCAAAGACACTCAGCATTCTTTGTCTGCTACTTTAACTTACGAGGTACCACAGGGCTCTATGATGGGACCCTTTACTTTTTCCCTTTTATTATTTTATGAATATGCATTTTATATTTTTAGACATTTGCATGCAATTGTTTCTTTCCTTCTGAAGGAGGGAAAAATGCAGCTGAAAATTCTCTTTTTGCTTGCCTTGAGGATAAGAAATGTAACAATTTTAATTAAAGGTTTTATTAATTAACTGGAAAAAAAAGAACTCGGGAAAATAAGGTATGGTGTCCTGCATCAAAGTTATGACACCAAGTTTTAGGTATAATCTCATATTTGATCATTAAATAAATACAGTGATAATAAAAAAGTATATTTTAGGTGTTTTAAGGTAAAAAAAATCAGTAATATTACAACTTATCTTTAAAAATAAGTTATAAAAGCTTGTAAATTTTCAAAAAAAAAAAAAAAAAAGAAAAAAAAAAAATCGCTGAAAGAATCATATGGGAGTCGTTGGGTAATTATGTATATAAAAATAAATGCACATTACAAAACAATGAGGGTGTTTTTTGACCTTGCATGCATTTTAGCCTGTTGTTGGAGACCCAAACCAAAATACGACCCTTTTATAATGCATAATAGTAGCTCTTAAACAAACACTTAAAGAAGGACGATACAGCTCTAAATTTGGCTTTCATTTCCTTTTCCTGGAAACCATTTAATCACATCTTAAGTGTAGAGGTGATTGCGCATTTTCAGATGTTTAATCAAATCTTGTACACACAAGTGTATGTAGATGTGCATCTATATTTTCTTACTATTTTTATGTTTGGATTTTCCTTGTTGAATCAAATTCAACCAAAACTCGTCAAAACAGCGAGGGGGGTTACATGCGTTTGATTACATCACTCCAGCACTAGCCCTGGCAGTTATTGACCTGATGAGAGCCTCTGGGTAGGTCGTAATAGATCCGAATCCATTTGTCCTACATGGTTCAATAACATGTATGGCAACGGAAAATCAATGATTATACTGTGTGCAAGTATATTGTCTTATGTTTGCAGGTTTGGAAACGTCACACAGTCGGTAAGATTGATGTTTACATTTATGATCACAGAAAAGGACAGTGCCCTGAATCACCCGACAGAAAGAGTGAGAAAGAATGAAAGCTGAGAGAAAAAGAGAGAGAGAGAGATGAGCCCTCCGATCAAGGTCATGCACATCTCAGTTCAGTTTTATTGAAGTGAAAATATGATTTCAGTGGAAGAGAAAAAAAGTGTCACGGTTTGATTTAGACTAATTGCTGAGGAATGTCAAAACTTACTATCAGTCCGTTTGCGTGTTGCTGTTCGTTACTTTGATCCTTCAAATTTTAAAAAGAAAACACAAATTGAGAAATAAGGCAACCCTACAGCTTGGAGAAAGCCACAAATGATAGTCTCCGCAAATCAGTAACACTGGTCACTTTTTATTAACCTCCTGAACCTCTAGGGCTATGTTCACACAGTAGGGTTTGGGATTGTCAACCATATTTACTAACACATGCCTTCATAGTACAGCTTACAGGAGTGAGTCAAACACTGAATGAATTACCAAAGGCACATACTAAAAAAAAAAAAAAAGAAAAAAGAAAGAAAGACGGCACTATCTGACAAAATCGAGACCATCTGATTCCAATCGAGGTGCGAGTTCCTCTGTCAAATGTGCTGGTTAATGTGAAAAGATCATATTTAGCACAGTAAAAAAACAACTAACATTTAATTTCTCCTGCTGTGTGAACATGACCTTAGTGTAGGAAAAATCACCTCTCCAAACCATTAATATGGAACCTGCTGGAATGTTTATAAACATTAACTGGGTTATGGAAAATTACAGGCTGGGTTGCACAAGACACAATATGAACACAGTGGGCAGACAAAACACAGGAGCATACACATTATGAGTCTAAATTACAAGTGTTTTACCTTGGCAATCTGTAGCAGTACGATACAGTGTTTGATGGACTCTACCATATTCTAAAAAAAAAAGCAAAACAAGAAATGAGAATGCATTCCAACAACAAAACCTGATCCAAAATGCATTAAGAGGGTGAAGGTGCAGACGCTCTTACACAAGTGGTGTCCTTCAGGTTCTCGATTTTCTGTCAACAGGACATACAAATAGAAGAAAATAAACAGTTTCAGTAAGAATTGTGAAATTCCCTTAACTTACAAACTAAGATGCACCTTTACCAACCCTAAAAAAAGCAGAAATGAAAGCCTGACAGTCTCATGAGTTTAATCCCCATAAATAGGCTTAAAATGTGACTCTCAGTAAATGCCTCGTTTCAAATTTAGTATCTAACACATCCTGAGTTCTGCTTGTGAACTATTTATAATATAAATATACAAACTACAATACAGTTAAAGTCAAAAATGACAAGCTCTCCTTTGATTTTTTTCAAAATTATGCTTAAAAGAGCAAAGAATCTTTCATAGTACTTCCTATATATTTTTTTCTTCTATAGAAAGTCTTGTGTGCTTTATTTAAGCTAGACTGAAAGCAGTTTTATATATTTTTTAGTTTAAGGTCAATATTATTAGCCCCCTTAAGCAATATTAACTTTTTTGTTTGTCTACAGAACAAACCATCCTTACACAATGATTTGGCTAATTACCCTATCTTGCCTAATTAACCTAATTAAGCCTTTAAAAACTGCACTTTAAGCTGAAAACTAGAACACTAAGCTGAGCCTTGAAAAATATCTAGCGAAATATTATGGAAAAACATAATCTTTCCGTTAAACAGAAATTGGGTAAAAATATACAGTAGGGTTGCACGATTATTGGAAAATCTGACAATGATGTTTTGTTTTTCTGCAATATAGATTGTGATATGAAAACAATTTCACTAGAGACCTTCGATAGCTTTATTGGTGAAAAATCATTGATTTAGACTGGTTGGGTTGATTTTGTAAGAGTGTGAATCATGTATAAAAATAAAAGAGCGAAAGTAATTAAAATAGGGCAAAGAAAAAATTAAATAAGCAATTCTTTATGCTTTTCCAGAGAGTCAAACCGTATTCAAATACAGAAAGTTAGTAATGTAAAATAACACTGTATAGTCTTCATTGTATTAACAAAGCAGTAAATATTTTTTCATTGAAGTTACAAATGTTTACGTTATCGTGCCCGAATGCTTTACACTTTCTTGAAATGCCTTTGAAAACACATGCAAATGATAAAAGTTTCACTCTGTTATGGTTATACGTTGCAATGACTCCCCAAATCTTATGTATACTCAATTGTTGATCGACTATAATCCTAAATTAACATTGCATATCTGGTGATGTGACTACTGTGGACACACATTGTGATATCGATAGTAAAATGATATATTGTGCAGCCCTAAAGTGCAGGGGCAAATAATTCAGGAGAGATCATAATACTGACTTCGACTGTATATTAGATTTACATTGTATAACAGGCAACCTTTATTTGCATATTTCATTTAGGGCCTGATTAGAAATGACTGCAGATGACATAATAATTTATGTACAATTACTTGTGAAAATATATAAATTAACACATTATGCCAATTGTCTATTGAGTCATTAGTTACAAGAATCGAGACATGCTAAAGGGTTAATGTCTTGTAAATTACATATACACAACTTAAACATTTCTATATGAAGAGTACAAACACAATATCTGCTGGTTTGAACATGAATATGGTTTATCTAAAACAAAACATAAAGCTAATGCTCTACATCAGTGTTTCTCAACCACGTTCCTGGAGGACCACCAGCTCTGCATGACCATGTCTCCTTAACCAAACACACCTGATTCAGATCATCAGCTCATAGGCAGAGACTGAAAGACCTGTAATGGTTGTGACAGACCAAGGTCAAAGGAGACATCCAAAACATGCAGAGTTGGTGGTCCTCCAGAAATGTGGTTGAGAAATGTTGATCAGGTATATGATTTCGATGAGTGGCTCTTTTTAAGACAGGACATCCTACGGTAAAGCCTCAATACTAGATGCTACAGTATCTCTCATTTATAATAATACAGAAGTAAGGAATGCTGACACAAAAATGAACCTCTGACAACCGAAAAAACGATCATGTCTTACTCTGCGCGACTCATCTTCCTTGCAGTCTTTTATCTTTTCATCGAAGAGCTACAAGGTGAAAAAAAAAACAGGACTTAAGACAAAAATACACACGATGATGCATACATTCCCAAAGATGATGATACAGGAACTCAAAAACAAGGCCTTTTTGAGTCACAAGAAAGCCTTACTTTTAATTGGTCGATCAAGATCTGCAAATACGCATCTGCTTCGGCTAGCTTCTTGTCGAAGTCCTGAACGCTGGGAACAAACCCTGTTTCTGCCTCCTGCAAATGAAACCGAGAGGGATCAGTTTCAGTCCTTCTCCAGCATATAAAAGCTTCCATGGTGTCCTAAGCTCGGTCACGTTCTGCTTTCGAGAGGAACTGAGCCGAACTGCAGTCTGCCTGTACACATTTCTTTCTCTAACAGCTTTAACTGAATTACACAATTACAGCCATGAACAGCGATCAGACCCCGGGACTGATGCTGAACTTAACTGCGAAAGAAATGGTTCAGGCTGAGATTTGTCGTTGTTAGTTACTGATGCTGAACATGTTGAAAACAAAACATCTGCAGAGGTTGTACAACACACGCCAAACACTGCATTAAGAATGTTAAATGTTTCTGAGACATGAGGACAGCTAATTGTCATCTTGTAAAAAACATGTTTGTTTTTCCCCCAAAACATTTCTGACTCAATTTCAAGATAACTGATTCAAAGTAAAATAAAATACAACTAATGATGATAAAATATAACATAAAATAAGCCACGGCCATATTAATCTGCAGCCCAAGACCGGTTACTCACTGAAGCTAAGCAGGGCTGAGCCTGGTCAGTACCTGGATGGGAGACCACATGGGAAAACTAGGTTGCTGTTGGAAGTTTTTTTTTTTAGCGAGGCCAGCAGGGGGCGCTTAACCTGCGGTCTGTGTGAGTCCTAATATCCTAGTATAGTGAAGGGGACACTATACTGTCAGTGAGCGCCGTCTTTCGAATGAGATGTAAAGTGAGATCCTGACTCTCTGTGGTCATTAAAAATCCCATGGCAGGTGTAACCCCGGTGTCCTGGCCAAATTCCCTCCATCTGCCCTTACTGATTATGGCCTCCCAATCCTTCTCATCCACCAAGTTGGATCTATCGCTGTCTCACCACTTCACCTATAGCTGGTGTGTGGTGAGTGCACTGGCGCCGTTATCCTGTGGCTGCCGTCACATCATCCAAGTGGATGCTGCACACTGGTGGTGGAGTGGAGAGGCCCATCTCATGATTGTGAAATGCTTTGGATATATGGTCATGGGTAATAAATGCGCTATATAAATACACGTTACATTACATTACATGATTTTCATTACATGGTTTGCTCACTTTACTTTCCTTACATAAACTTTTAAGACTTTTCCACCACGTTTTACGTAATCACACCCTTTCTAAACTCATAATGCACAAGAACTGCTGGTATATATCTTGTAAATAAAACCATTTCTGACACTTTTTCAATGTAACTGACTTTATTTCACTTACATAAACTGTTAACCACTTTTTACACAACATGCTTCACTCAAATCGCACCCTTCCTGAACTCATAAGACACAAACTCTAAGTACTGCTCAAGTGAATTCACACCAAAACCTTAAAACAGCTTCCGTCAACAAGAAGTGCAAATATTATTACTGTAACAAGAAGTCTTTAAAAGACCAGCAAACTACATTTTTTTATTTGCAGCAAAACCACAAATTCAACCTTTAGCTATTTAACCATTTCAGCTGAACTAAGTCTAAAGCTAATAGCATGTTAGCTCTGGTGGCTTTGAGGAGTTAAGTTTAGATAGCACAGAAAATGATTGCTGTAGCCTATATAACAGAGGTACTTCCTGGTCTGGGGGTCACTGCTGTCTTTGGGTTTTTCCGACCGCTGTAAAAGACCCCGTGGTGGAGACTGGTAGAACTGAACTGCATTGGAAAATGAAGAAAAGCCATGGGCGGCTAGCTGTCCATCAAAACGGTAAACATTATAAAAATAGGTCAAAGTCTGCATGCAGAAGCGGAGCAAATCCGCTCAAGGACCAAAGGTTAAGTGGAATATCAGTATGAAAGCATGTGATTTGCTGAGTCGACTGCAAGCACATGTATGTGAGAGCACAATAAAAGCTTTTAATGAGAGTTTTGCGGCTTTTAAAATGAAATAAAGATCAAGTTCCACACCGGAGGTAGGCATGACCAGATTATACTACCTAACAGTTCATTTGTGCATTTAAGAACAATGGATGTGCTTTTAGTAAAACACTAAGTCCTGGAAAAAGAACACCCTGAGTATAAAAGCTGGAAAGAAAGCCTGAAACATTTGTGTCATTAACTGTAAGAGTTTGCAAATGTATGTTACATTCTCAACAAGAGGCACTAAAGCAGGAGAATGTAGGAACTAAAGTTATGCCAAAACAACAGTCTATTGAATAAAATCTGCTGCTTGTCTTCATTAAATTAGATACATCTAAGAATTCTCAGACATTCTTGTTTTTCTTACTGCCAGTTTGTGAACAGCTTGCACTTTAAAATATTAAAAAAACAAGACCTTGCCAGATCTTAGTTGTTTTTATCATAACAGCATCATTTATCATTTATAATTATCTCATTTGTTGATCAAACGGTTTCTTAAATGAAACAAATGTGTGAAAACAGCAGTTATTTTGTTATTGATGGAAAAATCATGCAGCTCATTTTTACATATTTAACCAAAAGTAATTTTTTCTATTTTTACTTTTAAGCAAAAAATGAATTACTGAGAATTAATAGGCACTTTGGGGGGGACTAAATCATGTTCATAAGGTATACATCATGCCATACACACACACACACACACACACACACACACACACACACACACACACACACACACACACACACACACACACACACACACACACACACACACATATATATTTGTGTGTGTGTGTGTGTGTGTGTGTGTGTGTGTGTGTGTGTGTGTGTGTGTAACCTTGCATTATGTCTACATATTTTGTTTGTATTATCTGAATTTTATGTTAACAACAAACACACTGGAATCTCAGCGAATACTTGCTTCACAGACATAATAAATATATGCAAATAAAGTTTGAAGGCTCTGTGCTTTTAAATCAACCAAGTGCACCTAAAAACAAAGTTTTTTTTAGTTTTGTAATCTGTATGAAACTAACGCGAGGTACAGTTCGTCCTGATGTGTAAACAGAGTCGCTGTTATGTTTAGAGGAGATTCGCCATCAAGACCAAGTAGTGAATTACTTCAGAAGACCAGCACTTTCAGACAATCATTATCCACAGGATGACAACGTGTATAAATGAGGTTGGTGTCGTGATCTTGTTCCTTTTGAATGTGCATGCTTATTAGCTCGTGCAACCTGAAAAAAAATGCTGATTTTGTTTGATTCTAACATTTATAAATGAAACTTATGAGATAGTTGTTGTGTTATTTTATCGGTGGTTGTAACGTAATCATAAGCTTGACAAACAGTTTTGAAAAATGTGATGTTTCCCCATTCAGACAGAATGCCCGTGCAGAGTAAAATGATTTGTCATAAAGGGACTTTGCATGTACTTAATGTTAGCTTATTTAACTACTAACATAAACAAAAAAATAACAAATCTTATAAAGCATTTATTAATTGTAGTCCAACATTTTCTAATGCACTATTAAAATCCAAGGCTTTGCTTGTTAAAATTGGTTAATGCACTTTGAGTTTACATGAACAACAGTATTTTCATTTCCTGATGTTAACAAAGATGAATAAATACTGTAATGAATGTATTGTTAATTTATTCATCCTAGAAAACACACATTAACTAAAATTAAGATAAAACGTTTTTATTTTGGGTCTACATAGCAAATAAACAATAATCATAAATAAATACAAATGTACGTTGAAAATAGAGAGTTTAGACAGCTTGTAGGCTATTTTATGAGTGTAAACGAGTAAACGAGTAACGAGTAAAAGTCACACAAACTGAAAAAGCTCACAGGCTGTCCTGCATTTCCAACAACTCTATACAGCACACTTTTAATTCCAATTCTAATTTCTCAGGCGCAGACAGATTTATGAGTTAACGCGAGTTTACATACTTTATAGTTTTATACTATGCATCATTATTATCGTTTCATTATATGCATATTCCCTGGAACCTGAACCGCAATTCCCTACAAGTTAAGTGTGGGAACATATGCTTAGTCACATCCTACAGGCACCATAAACATCTCACCTCCCAGCATGCCTGAGATCTGCTGTTCTGGCATGAACTTATTAGACAAATACCTCATAACTACCATTTAGGGCACTTAAGAGCATGTTGCATAATTATTTTAACCTGTGCCTGGCAGAGAAAAACAGCTATGAGCTACGTGTTAGCTGACACACACCTGAAGAGACAGACGGGAAGCTCATCCCATTGACTCACTCATTCAGTCTGACTCACAGCAGTAAATCTCAACATCTAACACAACTGCATAGACTAGCGTTTCAGAATGAATCAACTCGAGGTGTGCTGGCTATTATTGTGCATTTTAGGAGTCTGATCTTGAGTCATGTGGTCTGTTATGCCAACACAGACTCTACACGCATGATATGACTGAGATTATAAATCACAAGCGAGGAAAAAAGTAACTACGTATTCAAGCGTGACCTCTATTTGCACAAACAAATGTTTCTCTTCCTTTCATAAACACGCACACATACACACCTACCTGTGCGCACTCACACACAACGTGACCTGTTTAACGCGTCAGTGAGCTCCAACAAAACAAAAATACTCACTCTGTGCTTGCCTCTGCGGGACATGCCTCCACAAATCTGACCCAAACTCCCAGAAACACTTTCAGTATCAGTACACACAGGCTTTTCCTGTAAGTTCCCCCTCTAAAGGAGGGGCGAATAAGGTGAACAAGCACCTATCAGCTTTTGTATAAACCACTCTTGACCAGGAAGACTAGACTTCCTCTTAAGAAGAAAAAAAGCAAAAGAAAAAGTGGCATAAGCTTTGCAGACTGTAGAAAACATAATGCTGTGCTGTGATTGGATCTGACAGCTGCTGCACTGGAGGGACAGGCTGAATAAGCAATGATGTGAATGGCTGGTGGAAATCATGTGACCGGATAGCTGCTCACAAACTGCGTGTAGGTGCACGCAGCTGCCAGTCAGCAGGTTTAACTGAAAAACGCAGAGCTAAGGGAGAGAGAAAATGGAGAATTCTTTGAGAGGAAGAGATGAGTCGAATTAGGCTTGGTTTTCTTCTTAAAAAGTGAATCTTTCACAAATTAAAAACATTATGCTTTCCTAACGGGAGGTAAAGAGGGAGAAAATAACATTCATTGTGCAGACTATGCTGTCACAGTTTATATAAAAAAGGTAAGTCTAAAAAGTTTAAGTCCCAATTAAACTATTTGACAAACAGTTTTCTATTTGTGGTTAATGTTTTTCAGAAAACTTTAAGAGGATGTACTCATGAAATTCATTCATTCATTCATTTTCTTGTCTGCTTAGTCCCTTTATTAATCTGGGGTCGCCACAGCAGAACAAACTGCCAACTTATACAGCATGTTTTTACACAGCGGATGCCCTTCCAACCGCGACCCATCTCTGGGAAACATCCATCCACACACACACTCATACACTACGGACAATTTAGCCTACCCAATTCACCTATACCCCATGTCTTTCGACTGTGGGGGAAACCAGAGCACCCGGAGGAAACCCACGCGAACGCAGGAAGAACATGCAAACTCCACACAGAAACGGCGAGGCTCGAACCAGCGACCTTCTTGCTGTGAGGCGACAGCACTACCTACTGCGCCGCTTACTCATGAAATATAAAAAAAAAAATATATATGAAATACTTGGAGAAAACACAATGAATTAACACTGACAAAAAATGACATCAATTAATTTCCAGCCACAAACAGTCATACATATATTTTTAATAATTTCGCTTAACTTCATTATTTTTAAACTTTATTAGTATTATTATTAGAGTTTGCATGTTCTCCCCGTGTTCACACGAGTTTCCTCAGGGTGCTCCGGTTTCCCCCCACAGCCCAAAGACATGCACTACAGTATAGGTGAATTGGCAAATCAAAATTGGCTGTAGTGTATGAGTGCATGTGTGAATGTGAGTGTATGGGTGTTTCCCAGTGCTGAGTTGCGGCTGGAAGGGTATCCGCTGCATAAAACATATGCCGGAATAGTTGGCAGTTCATTCCATTGTTGCGACCAAACAAATCAGAAACTAGGCCGAAGGAAAATGAATGAAAATAATTTTATAATTAGTATTATCAAAAAATTGATTAATAAAAACTACTTTTTACTTATAAATAAAAAAATACCATCCTCTCTTCTTCTAAAATCCACCTTTAAAGGTGCAGTATGTAAGTTTGACACCCAGTGGTTGAACTACGTATTACACTCCTGAATCAAAACAAATGCAAGTGCAGGTTGCCAGATTGAGGACGAACACAAGCGAGCCTGACTATTAAGCCTAAAAGCTGATTTAAGGCTGATTTAAATTGTGTTTTGTATACAAGTAACTGCAAGAACGAGTTTTTGTTCTAACCAACACTTCGAATCGATATATTACAAACATTGTCTATTTCTTGCAGCTGAACAACATGATCAACTGACAATGACCACCACAAGTACACCTCATGTAATTTTTCCAGAGTTAAATGCTAACAATGCGAGTTTGAATGCCATTTTACATGACATTTATTGCCATACTACTAAAAGCAGCAGCAGATAGTTCACCTTAGATCTTAAAAATAAAATAAACTGTTTATAAACAGAGCTGTGACTTAAAACCAACACACATCAGTGACTCAGCTTCTACATTTAGTAGTTCAAGAGGTTTACCTATTAATTAGATTATAAACATTACCATTTCGTGAGTGAGAGCATATTCTGTGCTTCAGAATGGCTGTGTTTAAATTTCTGTCGTGTTTTATCTGGTGCAAAGAGCCAAATTGCTTATCATATAGCGTGTTGTAAGGACACGGGGTTACAATGCAACCTGTTCACCTGATGTTTACATTCGTAATATTTATATGACTTGCTAATTATAACCACCTCATGTGGAACTATGAATCTGAAGCTGCGTCCCAAATCGCATACTTATGCACTATTCTACGCCATTTTGTAGTATGAATAGTGTAAGTAGTGTGTTCACACTGAAAATTCTAAAAATAATAAGTGCACTTTAATTACCCGGATGATGCACTCATTCAGCCGCTAAAATGAAGTGTGTAATGATGGACACTTCACGCACTCAACGAACGCAGGTTTGCTTACGTAGCGGAAGGGGCGGAGCTATCGGACGCACATGTTGAATAACTTTATTTATTTTGGATGGTGAAAGCAAAATTCTCCTACGAAAGTGATTATAGCGCCTCCCGATGGAGAATACAGCAGTACTTACGGCAGGTATTATTTGATAATTCAGTTGTTTATTTCACTGATTTGGCAACCGTCAAACGTCATCAGGGAAACGGTTTGAATTTCCGCTTAGTAAAAAAAACATTAGTGTGCCATTTGGGACAACACTACATACATATACTATCCTGTTGAGTGTGTAAGTGCATAAGTACATAGTGCATGAGTGCATAGTGTATAGTGTGCCATTTGGGACGCAGCTTGAGTCTCATTTCGGAGTCTGCTACTGTCCACCAGAGGGCGCATTTCAGTCACGTATGCTTACTTTAAGAGCCTTTCTGAATGAATGAATTAAATACAGTTTTCCATCAAGGCAACCCAGGGTACTGAAATGTAATTGACTAAATTGGCATTGGGTGGGTTAAAAAACCCCAAAAAAAGACAGTGTTCCAGCATGTAAAAGACATTTTCAATATTTTTCAGATAAACAAGAATGTTCACTTGGCATGCTTCTAAAATATCTGCATATTATGGTGTTTTTATGCTTTAGTAGAGTCAAAAACTTACATACAGCACATTTGATTCAATAATACCTGTTCCTTTGCAAATACTTCTGAAATTGACAAGCTATTTCTGAATCAAAATGGTTTTATTTATAGGGTAACACCTGTTTCATTTCTGTGTACATCATATAGCACTCAGATGCTTTCAAAATGTCACCAAAAACATATTTCAAAAGGAAACATATTTTACAGATATCTTTTTAAACTATCTGGCTAAGATATGTGAAATATCATACAAATGGCCAAGATTACCTGCTGAAGGGTGTGACGGAGAATTGTTCCCTCTAAGGCATGAATCCACTTTTCCCGCTCATCTGCGTCACGGGCTGCGGGGCAGACATCCAAAAACACATCCATTAGTAATAAGCAGGCGCACCACAAACACACACGACACATGAAATGGAGAGTGGAGAATGACCCTGCTGAGGAACTGTAAAGGTGTCAGCGGTAACTACAGCTCTGTTGACGGATCCTGTTTTCCTTAATGAAAACAGGCAGAGTTTCAGACAAGACCAGGTTGTGGCAAGTTAAACAGGAACGCACACAAACGAAAGCCTCTGCCCTTGAGTAAACACCAATGGTAAATACTACTTGTACCAAAGTCACTTACCGAAAAGAAAGATATTTTACAAAAACTCAAGAGCTGACTAAGAATGCAGGTTGTGTGTTTTATTATACGAATTAGAAATCAAGTATAAAGCATAAAACAACAAAAAGTGAAAAACTGTGAAGTTACCAAATTACTTAAACGGGTCCCACTATATTTTTTATAATTTCCACAACAATTAGTTTGTGTAATATTTGTATTTAAAGATAAAAAACAAATCATAATCCACAGATTCAGCAAGCACTGTTCCTGAACTTCATTAAACATTTGCTATAGTTGTACTGAGCTTTCTTTTGAAGCCGTGCATGTCACAATACACTACCTGATGAAAGTCTTGTCGCCTATCCAAGTTTTAGGAACAGCAAATAAACTTGACTTCTTGTTGATCATTTGGTATCAGGAGGGGCTTATGTAAAAGGCAAAGGCGTCTAATGCCTATTTTAGCTAAATAAAATATGAGCCTTAATTTTATATATTTAATTAGGACAGTAAGGCCTGACATTGCTTAGACAAAAGTCTTGTCACTTAACAGAAATAATGTGCAGTATAGAATATAAGGTCATGGTGCAGTGGAAAAATAATTAACATTGTGTCTGACTCCCATGAGCTTGGAGGACTGCATCCATACATCTCTGCAATGACTCAAATAACTTATTCATAAAGTCATGTGGAATGGCAAAGAAATTGTTCTTGCAGGACTCCCAGAGTTCATCAAGATTCATCTTTAATGCCTCCTCCATCTTACCCCAGACATGCTCAATAATGTTCATGTCTGGTGACTTGGCTGGCCAGTCCTGGAGCTCCTTGACCTTCTTTGCTTTCAGAAACTTTGATGTGGAGGCTGAAGTATGAGGAGGGCTATCCTGATGAAGAATTTGCCCTCCCCTGTGGTTCGTAATGTAATGGGTAGCACAAATGTCTTGATAGCTCAGGTTGTTGATGTTGCCATCCACTCTGCACTCATACACTCAAACCAGGATTTTTCCTTCACCAAACTTGACTCATTTCTGTAAGAATCTTGGGTCCATGCGGATTCCAATAGGTCTTCTGCAGTATTTGTGACAACTGTGATGCAGTTCAACAGCACCCTCTGGGTCTCCAGAAAACAGAATCACACTTGTACTCCATTTGGTCAAAAGTGACCGAAGACCACAAATGTGATTTTTTTTTTTAAATCAAGAAAATCCTTAAAAAAAATTGTTTAATAATATTTTTTTTCTTTTTGAGAGGATGTGGTTAAAAAAATTATATTTATGCAGTAATTAATATTCTTTTTTAATATTAAAAATTATAAATTAGTAATAATAAAATTAGTAATAAAATTAGTGCAGTATTTCTAATTAAAATAGAGACGCTCCAATTCAAATAAAATTGAGGAGGCAGATTAGCACCATCTAAATGAGAAAAGAAAGAAAAATCTGTGTAATGTCATGGTGTAACCACTTGATGATTGTTTAGCTCTCTAAAAAACAGCTTGTGTATTCCTACTGGTTTTTCGACATAATTAATGGCGTGATGAAATGTTCTTGACAGCTTCATGTCTGTGCGCTCCAAAAACTGATTTAACACTGACTATGCTTTGAAGTTAAGTCAAATCAAAATTTACAATGTTTATTTTGCTAGCGCACATTGATATTTTTTATATGAACAATTAATCCATGCAAGTTAATCCAATCAAAGTCTGAACATTCAGACATCAGTTTGATGGCTTCAGCCACTATCCTTACCCACGTCTCTCTTACTGATATTTTGCTGAGTGAATGATGCGTAAAAAAAAGCCCCGCCCCCTACTTAACATTTAATTTCAGTTGGAAGTACATCAACATACTAAAATAAGTCTCAGCAACCTCCAGGTCATGTAGACTTTGTTTATAGTTGACAGAGTATCTGAGCCATGAGCTATAAGGCTCTGCTCTCTTCACAAAGCTTATTCGCATTTTAATAGTCAAACATGAAAACATCACATTTTTTCTTCTATTTATCTTGAGTCCTTCAGATCTTGTAAAAAATAAAATCAAAAAAGTATAACATTTGATAAAAAATTTTTGTCTTCATTTGTTCAAAACAACATTTAAATCCTTCCACTATTTCATAATTTATGCTTAAGTGAAAGGGCTGATTTTCAGTAAATAAAGACTTACACTTAGTCTGTTTCACCAACAAATCTATCATATGACATACACAGACTTAAAAATGTAAAGCGAGAGTTGTGTGGACTACTTCTACAGAGCCTTGAAAGCCACTATTCACCATCCAATATCACAATAAAAAGAGCAGCACTAACATTCCTCTAAGCATCTCATTTTGTGGTCGACAATAAAAAGAACTGAAATAAGTGTAAGTAGTCAGTAAAAAAAAACTCACATTTCATATGCAAATGAGCAGCACTAACATTCCTGTAAACATCTTTTGTGGTCGACAATAAAAAGAACTGAAATCAGAAAGTGTAAGGAGTCAGTAAAGGCACATCAAAATTAAGAGTATATTCAATGTAAAAACATAACAGACAAATATCAGCCCAAATCTCTCTCTCTTTCTCTCTCTAATAATCCATTAGACATAATTCCTCAGGGAAAAGCTGAAAAACAGCACTCAAAACATATGATATAGCTGACACTTCGATGGATGAACGTGCAAAGCTCAGCAAAAAATCTGAAAGCTTTCAGAAGCACAAAGATCTGCCTCCGTATCTCCAATTGAATCACTCAGATATGTAATTTGTGTAAGTGGTGGTGCCTTTATAGATCAACTTCCAACCATAATGCAATGGAGCGTAAAACATACACCAAATCAGTAAATAATCAATGTGCCTCACTCAGAAATATATAAACAGCACAAGTATATACATATTTTTAAGAAGTTAACAGGACATTTCATTTATTTTACCTGCTTGTAAAAGTACCACAGCATTAGCGTTCGCTCACGATCACGAAAGCCATCCCACATCTATGGAACATGCCTGAAATCAATGTCCCAGATCCGTGTGAGAGTCGCAGTCCAAAACAAACATGGCCCCTCCCTGCACTACTGGCACCAGAGCGGAGATCACGTGATGCATGATGCCAGGCTACCTCCACTCACCAGCCAATGAGCTTTCACTAGGTGAGGTAGTAGAGTTGATTACAAAACACTGCACTTGTCCGTTATTTGGCAACAAGGACGCCCTAACACTGACCTAAAGACTTCAGCAACAACATAACAACATGAAAATAAAAAAAACGTATTTCTATTATGAAACAGTAATAAATAATAAGCAATGCAAATATTATTAAGTAAATAGTTTCTCTGCTGTATACTCAAGCATGTAATTGAGTTTTTAGTTGCTCTCCTCATTTCTAGCCTATATACTGAAAGCAAGGTGGAGTGGCTCTCTGGAGAGCAATGGCGGACTTCAGCATGGAATGAGGGCACCTTATGTAATGTGCCCTTCTAACGACACCCCGGCAGAATGCTGGAAAAAGAGAGACCTAAGAACTCAGATAAAATGTCTCATCATTTACATAAGTCTTTGTAAATGTTATAGGTGTTAAAGGTAATTCTAAAGGTAACACTTGTAGGCATGGTGTCTATCAGGCTTGCAGTGAAGTGAAGAGTTGAGTGAGTAAATTCTGGCCAACAGAAATAAACAGCTATTTACAAATCATAGAGAGTAACCCAAAAAAAAGAAACAACAAAAACGAATGACATTAATATTATGTACACCACCAGTTAAATATTCAGGGGAGGTTTCATATTGTAATGATTCTGACAAAAAATGTGTGTTCTCATCAAGGCTGTCTACTTTTTATCTATAAAAATACAATATTAACAGAAAATTTATTAAATATTACAACTTTACTGTTACTGTTACTTTACTGTTTGAATACATCTTAATTTGTGAAGACAATGCTGAAGCCGTCATTACTCCATCCTCGAGTCTCACATGATCTAGAAACATTTCTGCCATACTATCATATCAGTGTTAAGTGTAAACCAAACAAGTAAAGGACTTTGGGAAAGTCACATATTTAGGATACTTTGAGGAATAGAAATTTCTTAAAAAAAAAAAAAAAAAAACCTGTATTCTTTGATTTTACTGAGGCCGAATCTGGAGCTAATCTGACAAAATTAATAGAATAACAGTCCAACGATGCCCAAATTTTAGGGAAAAGTTAGGGGAAAAATATGAAATTAAAAAAAAATTATCAAAGAATTTAGGAGAAACAAAAAATATAAAAAAAAAAATATTTTTTCAATTTTGTAGTTTGTATTTATTTATTTTTTTGCAATATTTCACATGAATTTAAATATGTTTTATCAAAACCATAATTATACAAGTAGTTATCTTTCCATTTATAAAAATGTTTGGTTACTAAAATATGAATTTAATATTAATATTTAATATTTTTGTAACATAACTATAAGTAATTATCTTTCCATTTATATTAGACTAGATTGGATTCAACTTTATTGTCATAACACATGTACAAGGCAACAAAATGCAGTTTAGGAGTGCAGTAGCAGTAAGTGCAGGATACAAGTATAAGCTTTAAAGTGTAATTATAGAACAACTATCGTGATATTTACAGATGGATGTACTATGAACATTATATACAGGTTGTATTAGCCATGAACAGATATTAACAATAGATTAATATAAGTAAAGGTTGCTAATAATAATAAGATATATATGAACAAAATTACAAATGTATATTTACAGTGGGTATGTACATCTACATT